AACTACTCAACAATTTTTGCCTGAAGTACTGAAATGGAGGTTTCCTAAAATAGGGGTACCTGCAAATCATCCATTTTAAGAGGGTTTCCCATTACAAACCAGCCATTTTCAAATACCATCCATTTCAGGAAACCCCCAAATTAATGCCAGACCTGAAAGGCTTGGGGCCCTGGCAGCCTTGGCGTGGTCTGCGTGAGGGGCATCCCGGGCTGGGAGGACCGGGGAAAACATTTTCCCACATCTTTGTCTGGGGTTCTTGTTTTTAGTTGTGCAATCCCGCCTGCCTCTCCTCCTGCCCGCCTCCCGCCTACTCACACAACTCTCTCACACACACAACACAACTCTCACGCACACAACTTACTCAGCACTGGGGTCCCGTGCACAGTAGCCGCAACTGTTTGCGTGGCACGCGTGGCAGGTGACATCGACCTTCGCTTTGCGTGGCAGGTGTGGCACTTGGCGACATCGACGTGCATTCTGCGTGGCGGGCGTGGCACTTATGGCACTGGGCTGGCTCTGGTGGCGCGCTTGGATCCCGGTGACGCCGCTTCATTTTGTGTGGCAGGCGTGGCACTTTTCTTTACACACGCTTCTTTCACCAGCAACACTTTTACACGGAACTCTTTCACACACCTCACTTCGACATGCATTTCTTGCACATACCGATCCTCCACCATCTCTTTTCTCTTTCCTGCCTTTCCCACACCTGTCTTTGGCTACTTATTCGAAGTTGACATGTGGGGTTATCCGGCCCTTTAATTTGTTATTTTATTGTATAACATTACAATACTGTAACATATATATGATATATATATAATGATGTATATTATATATTATTTTACAATACTAACACACACACACATATATATATACACCTGCAAAAAACGTGATTTTAGTGGAAACTGGTCTTCCAACCCCCAAAAGCAGGGAGGTCATACTAGTATGTATGTACTGGTAACACCCATGTATTTTTCAATATTTTTTGTTATTTTGTTCCAAAATTGAAATTTGACATAACCATTTACCTCTATCATTTACCATGATTTACCGGTGACATATCGTGATTTTCCATTGCAAACTGTTAAATTGCCAGAGGATATCTATTCTGTAATTTAAATGCATGTTTTACAATTATTTGTATGAAACACATATGTATATTATATGTATTGATATGTATTATGCTTGTAACACATATGTAGTCACATGTATATAGGTGTTGTAATATGTATAGATATGACATGTAGTCGCATATCTTGAACATGGGGTATCGGAACCTTATAAAATCCCCGGGTTTCTCGTCATTTTCCACACTGAAATGGCAAATTTGGGGTATCCATGGCGAGCGGAGTCCTGAGATATGATAAGCTACTTTCTGAGTGGGATCATTTTCCATTACGGTATGCTGCATAGTTCCTGTGGGTGCAATGCACTTTCGACACTGGATGGCCCCGCACGGGACGGGAACGACCAGCTTCCAGCATGTCGAGGTTAAAGTATATATAGATGTTAGTGGTTTTAAACACCACTTGTCCATCCTTACCTGGATGGTGGGTTACTCAATTCCAGCAGACATATAATATGGAGATCGATCTAAAGGTCCTTGTAAAGAGTCATGGTTGCGAAGACCGTTCATATCATGTTTATATGCCACGCGCAAGTTTTTTTCTCCAGTTTGAGTTAGTAGATTTTATTTGCGACAGCTTCGTGAAAGTTGGATATCATTAATTTTTCATATTATTAAATTCATATAACATAGGGATATTTTGTGAAGGTGCATTTTGCAGGGAATGGCCTACAGTAGTAACTAAGAAACAATCAATTTGTTGTGAGAAGGGATTCCGCCATGCTACCTGCATGTCTACGGATAAACATGGAGTTTGCGACAGTTCGCGGAGGTCAAACAAAAATACTTAGGGATGAATGGCAATTTTTAGATGAAACAAATTCGATCCACCCCATCACATATGTCTATGTGGGATGTGACCACCAGCTAGATAGTATACAGTATTTTCAAGGGCTTTCCCTTTTCCATCCGATTGGGAGACCAGCAAAATCGGTGCAGCGCGGAAAGGATCTCTACAAATCGGTGCTGAAGTGGGCTTCCCAGATTGGAACGCGAAACATCTTCGAACAAAAGTGGCAAACCCCAAATCATGGAAAGCTAAGGATAGCCAGGATACCCCCAAAGGCACCTCCCAAACAGAAATAAATGCCTTAAGGCCTTAAGAATCACTATGCTTGCAGGGGTTACTCAAAACCAAGGGACACCGGTTCTCCGCGTTTTGGACGCCTGAGGTTGTCCCATCCTTTGGCACATTTGCCGCAGGAAAGCCTGAAGGCTTTGGAGCATGAGGCGATACCGGTGACGGGTCATTTCTTTTGTTGTGCCATCTAATTTCTTGGATCACTTTTGAGGATCTTTTAGCAATTTTCCATGGAAAACGGGACTTTCATTTTTTTTCTGCAGGGCATCCAAGCTAAGTCCCGAGGGTTTGGCTCAACCCTCACCAGTGGGAGCTGCCATAGGATGGAAAATTTGGAGGGCACCCCCCCCGAGTCTTATAAGGCATCAATGTACAATGCTGGTTGGCCCGCGGCTGAGTGACGGCGAGTTGCTGCACGAAAGATGAGCATTTCGAGGCAAGCCTTGAAAAAATCACTTGCCGGAGCAGTGTTTTCATCTCCCGCAAAAGGTTGCCAAAGCAATCCTTCACCTTTATGTACTGTAACCATCTGTAACCCCAATTTTGTTGAGATCCATACTGTAACCATCTGTAACCATCTGGGAATCTGAAACCTGATTTCTTTCGTTACTTTCCATCCCCCCACGATCCGGCCAGATCTGAGGTCCCATGGCAAAGAAAAGCTGGGGGACAAGCCAGATTTTGCCAAGGGCTCGTGCTGTCCTGAAAGATCTCACCATGGATGAGTGTGGTTTCTGGCAATCCCAGCTGGTCATGGAATTTTCATCTAGTTTAAGCTAGGGGACCGAAAACCGAACGTGTAGTGAGTAGTGATGCAGTTTTTAACTTCTGCCGCGTGTGGGGTGGGATGGTGTGAGGTGGGGTGGGGTGGGGTAGGGTAAGAACGTTCAAATGCACCTGCACCCATACGTGATGCTACGTCAACGTCTCTTCTCTTGCACTTGCACACATACGTTATGCTACGCAAGAGACGTCTTCTCTTGCACTTGCACTCCTACATCATGCTACGTTACAGACGGGGTGGGTGGAGTGGAGGTTGTTGCTACACAAAGACGAAGATTGCATCATTTGGGTTTAGATAATTTTTCCAGGGTGGAATTGGTTGCTACTTATCAGATGAAGATTGAAGCATGTATAAACGAAACATTTACATCATGTTACATCAATGTGTAAAAACATGTTGAAAACCACAGCAAAGACTGTACGCCAAGCGCTGCTGGGTTAAAACGGTCCCAATTTCGAGTGGCAGGCATGGGAAAATGACTGACCGGCACGCTCTGGAGCCTCTCTTTTTTGGACATGTAAAACCCAAAAAACACCCTTTCCACACCACGAAATGGTCGGAAAAAAAGCAACACCATGTAATTGACACAAAATCAAACAAAAGAACACAATTCAAGTGTGCTGAAACCTCACGTTGGACACATTTTCCATCATAAATGTTGTGCACGAATCATCACGCCGCCACGCGCGGTTTCCGGTCGGGCGGATAGTTTAAGATCTTGTTACAGCAGGAAAATATGAGACACAAATCATCTTCCAAAAAACCAGGTTAGATTATCAGGTTGGGTCCTGGCCAGGGTTCCCCACCAGCGGAAAGCTCACCGTTTTGCCCTTCAGCCGAGGTTCTACTTCAACCCACTCTCTGATTCTCCTGGCACTGAGGCAACTGACGTGGCCTGAAAGTGACGTGGAAACTGTGCTAAGTGGCAGATTGATGGATCACGAAGATGGCGAATTGATGGTGACCTGAAGTGAGAAGACCTCACGAAGAATGATTAAGATTCGGGAATTCATCAACAGCAGTAAAACTGGCCTTGAACCTGGTTTGCGTGGTGAAGCCGACACTATATAAACCATACCCAATTTTATCCTGCCGATCGCCAGGAAGACCAAGCTAAGTTCCCCTGGGCCTTGCCGAAAAATTTGTGGCCCAAGGAGGCAAGCTGGGGCTAGCGCCTTTGCACAGGTTGAAAAAAAGCAGGACTAGAAGTAGACTGTGAGGATGGATTTTTACTTTTTGGGCTGATATTATAAAGAACTTGCCCAACTTATGTTGAGCTTCTTGAAGATGGATGTAAGTTGATTTAAAGCACAATTGGGTCATTGTTTGAGCAACATTTTGCATCAATTTCCATTTAAAAGGGATTTATGTACCCATCTTAAGGGTTCCCAGTATGGGACGACGACCGCAAACATTTTTTTTTTTAAACTCAGATGATTAAAATGCCCCCATGACTTAGGAAACCCTCAAATGTAGTGGCTGCCACCATAAATCCCAATAAAATCACTAGCATCCCCATAAAATCCCACCATTACTCCATAACCCCCCCCCCATGGCTCCAGAAAAAACCATAAAATTCCATGATATTCCCGTAAAAATCAATAAAATGGATCTGCCACCCGAAAGGAAATCCCAGAGCTGGAGAAGAACTGCAAAGCCCTGGGTACCAAGATGCAGGAGGCCTTGATCTGTGATAAAAGAATTAGGAGGAAGCAATTACCGTTGTAAAATGATATTAGGAAAAAGCACATTATGAAATCAATACTTCAATACTACATGCAATGGTCATATGATTCATATGGTATGAATTTGATCTGATCGTGCCTATGAGCATTGCTATGATAGATACAATATATATATACACATATATTATAGGCATATTATATATCATTTACACACACACATAAACATGGACACAGAACATATGCATACAGAAATGAACGCATATCTACCCGTGCCAAGTGAATGATCCGCAGGTCATCGGTTTCCTTGGAGAACAAGTGGATCGCGTCATGGCGACGAAGGTGTCCGGAAATAAGGGGAGTATGGGATCAATGGGGATATAGCTAACGATATTACTGATATATAATTATGTATATATAATATATATATATATTACTTATATATATATATACGTAGTTATGTAGGGCAGGATATAGGGAGTAGATATATACACATACAGTTTGGAATCGCAAGGATGGACATACTCGTAGCTGCAAGACCTTCGCGCAAGACCATTTCTTTGACAACTACGTCTCCAGGTGAAAACCTACACTGCCAACCTCGGCAAGACGCTGCGCCCTTTGGATCCCTGTTTCTTTTGTGAACCTATGGGGCTTAGTCAGCACCAATCATGGATAAAACAACTATAAAACTGGTGAACTGGTGATTATCTGTGAACATAATTTATATCAAACTTAACTGATTCATATCAGCGGTTGTTGTCAGCACAAATTGGTTGATTAGCTATTGCACATGGTGATAAACCATACAACTGATCCCCATATCATTGTATGCAGATCACTCACTTATAATAACCAATAATTGATTGGCCATGACATATACATATATATACATATGTATGTATATATATACATATATGTATGTATATGTAGATGATACATACATGTACATATTAACATATATTAACCAGTTAACCACTGGTTGGTGGTTCAAATCTCCAGCTTTCTCACCAAGTCCGAAAACGAGGTGAGACGAACAAGTGCAAGGGCCGATTGCTGTACTACTTCCCGCCCAAGGCGATGAAAATTGATCCCAGGTTGTAGGGTGATCCTGGGCCCGACCCACTTTCTCACTCAGTGGCTTCCCCACCAGACCTTTGGGGAAGTTCTTCCACGGCCAGGAGACGCCAGCTCCGGAAGAAAAGGGTCAAGTGGCCGAGGCGACGACAGGTTTTGGACCCCAGAAAGATCGAACAGCTTCAATTTACCATCACTTTTGAGTTAGATTTTACTTCTCTGTGGGCTGCTGATGGCTGCTGAGCTGCTGAACCTTCGGGGGACCTAAAGTGATCGTCTTTTGCCAACTTTGGGTGATTTCTGAGGAGCTTCCATTTAGCTTCACTTTCACCATCTTTCGCCCAACCGGGTCTGAAAAATGACCAGCTGCGGGGGAGCGGGGTTCATTTGGGGAACCCATGGGAACCCCCAATGACTTCACCGAAGGATGGCTGGATCGGCTGGTCTGGAACCTCAGGGGTACAATCGAGCCATAGATTTTCAGCTTTCCACGGCAGTCAAAAAGTGGGGCACCCTCAGGTTTTAAGCTTGATGCAGACCCCCCAAATCCCCGAAAATCGACCTCTGGATCTGGACCACAATCTCCACAAGCCAAACCAGGAATTGATATATATATATATATTGCTTTGAACTTCTCCGCTCATATCCCATCCCCCAGTAAAAAACCCAACATGGTGCCCAAAAAAAGAAGAGACCCAAAAAATGGTCCGAGGCACAACGATTCGGGCTTCATGACGGGACTGACGCCCGACATGTTTGTCGCTGGGCTGCAGGTTTGGTTGTCACGGTTTGTTAAAAAAGGGTAACGTCAGAGTCAGAGTCGTTTCTTGAAACGATAGGAGAACCCTCCTGTATTTGGTGGGAACAAACTATACCACTTGAGGTGGAAATCATGACTTTTGGGGCCAACCCCCTTATAAATCAACCATCAAATAGGGTTTACTGGTTGACATTAGGCCCAGCACTAAATGTTTTAGGAGCCAAGAAGTAAGCAGTCCATTTTCGGTTCTCACACGCGCGAGATGACCCATGTCTTTCTTCGAGATGGCGGATAAAGGGTGATGGTGATGGTGGTGGTGGTGGAGGACAGAGATGACGGATATTTGAGCAGTGTTCAAAATTCCTGTTGTTTGATGATTGATTATAGCGAGTTATACTCCCCCATACATAGAGGATTATCATAATTCATTATCGGAATATATCGGAATCCATATTAACCAACAAGTATATTGGAATGGCAGAGGGGTCGTGTCACACGGCTGGGCAGAAGAACTTTCAGATGGACGTGCTGAATCTGAGGTGGATGATACGGATGCCGGGTGCTTAGCAACAGATGCCACAGTTTTTGGTGAAGCTACCGCAGCTACGGTCGCCTGCGCTGGCTGTTTTTGTAGCTACCAACTGAAGATGGAGCTAGCATGTAGTAACATCCAGCATGAATATCATGTGATGCATTGCACATTTATGCTAAGCCACGGCAGGATAATAGCCATGTAAGGTAGGTTACACCACATTGTTTGCCTAGTCTCCTAACTCAGCCATGGGTCCCTGTTTATAGATAGAGGCAGAAGAATCAAGTCCGCTGTCCCCATGTCCCCAAGTCAAACCCTAAAGGTAGTGGATGATTAGCTGAAAACCACCCACTTAGTCGGTGGAAGTGATCTTCTTTGGTCGGTGCAATTGAACTGCCACTCGATTTTTGACCAGGCTTTCCATTTTGTTGGAAGTTCCAGCAGGCTGTTTCCCGGCTAGCAGAGCCACCAACCTGACAGCAGGCAGCGCTTCCTCAGTGCCTTAATGATCTTAGAAGGACATGGAACGCCTCTGATGGAAGCTCATGGAAGCTTGTAAAGTGGGTCGAAGCAAAGTGCTATGCCGCTATGCCCTGCTATGCGGCCAAATCCGATCTGGCACCACTTGGCTGACTTGGACTTTCCGGAGAGGTCATTCAGTCTCCACAAATTCGAGAATGTGCATAGGCGGCAAGGTGACCTTTGGAGCCGCAGGGGGGGAGAATTTTCCCAATGAAACCTGGGCTTCTAGCCATTCACTTTAGCAATGCAGCAACCTCTGCCAATACTTGCCAGTATGACTGCAGTGAGCAATGCCCAGTTCATCCCTGGTGGTTGATGTTTGTATAGGAAGATACTACCAAGTAAGTACAAAGTGGTTTATATAGTTTTGAGGAGGACAGCAGGGTCTGGATACTGCTCTGTTGCGATTTCCGAGGGATCCGTCATGGAGAATCCTGACCCAGAGGGTGCTGGGCTTTGGATCGTTGATCGAGATAGCAGCGCCGGGATCTTACTGAAGGGCTGAGAATTTGAAGAACATCAAAGCAACATCCCCATAACATTCCTGAAGATTCTGCATTTTCACAATGGTCAAAATTGGACCCCCTAGAAATGGTCACAACATGATCTCAACATGTTTTTTTCGGCATTTTTTTTTCATGTCAGAAATCTGAGCCATGCCATGGGCAGATCGAGGCGGTTCGGGTCCGCGTTCCTCCAGATTGCATGGCCATTCAGGTGGGCGAGTGTACCCAGGCGGGATGCCTCGACTTGCGAATGTTAATTGATGCACCATTTGGCTATGGATCAATACCTATTAATACCATTTTTAGGGGGATGAACATCCATTTACCAGCTATTTTGATGTTCACCAGGGGTACAAGGTTTTGACACACTGCCATTTGAGAAATCTCCTGGGAGGATGTTCATTTTTTTAATATTTTTTCTTACTCCAAGAAATAAATCGTCCCATGAGTACGGGAGACTCGTTTCATTCTCACCGCAACTTAAAAAAATGCTGACGACATGGCACTGTGGATTCCCCGCAACTGTCAGGGTTTGTCCATGGTTTTCTTCAACTCCACTGGTTCATTGGTATCGGGCCAGGCCTAAAGGTGTAACATGGTGTAACCATGGATTGCCGTTTTTCAGGAGCAAAACCATGGTTGGCTCGCGATTTGCTATGGGTTTGAGCATTTGGAGGAATCGAGGTATTGAATCGTTGAGCCTTTTTTGTGGTACCCAACGATTCAGGACTGGATTAAACATTAGTCCAGCAGCACAGAGATTTTTTTGGGTTTCATAGAAAAGTGAAAAACAAACCAGAAAACCAAAAAAACAAACCAGAAAACCAAAATCAAGGAAAACACAAACACAAAACAAGAAAATCACATAAAGAAAACAACACGCCAACAAGAAACACAAGAAACAACAACAAAAAAACTGAGGAAAATGCAGTTTTTTTTTTTTTTCTGGTGATGGTGACTCTTCCTGTCGAGTTGTTTTTTTGGTGATTATGGTGTTGTGTTTTTTTTTTAAAAATATTTTTTGCTAAAATCAACTTTCTCTGTTCCACATGGGGTCATAAATTAAACATATCAAACGGTCCAAATTTCTTCGTGATCTCATGGTACTCCCATTTTTTCGGATCAGCATCTAAGCTTCAGGCATTGGTGAAGTTTCCCTGGAAAAACATCTCGGTTTTAGCTACGAAATCCGCCGGTTCATCATCATTTTCAGTTTGAACATAACCATTGTGGTACTCGTAATTTCTGTAAATTAGAAAGTCCCCTAAATCACCAGAATGACATAATAGTCGCAATGATTCCTCCACCATCGTGGGGGTTATCCACCATTTTCAAACAAACCCAGTTTTTTTTTTAATGGGGGATCCCCAGTCGTCACCATGGTTGTATGAATACTAGTAGGATGATTTAAATGGATCCCTCCATTTGAAAAAGCCGACTTCATTACACACTTTTTTTTTCATCCCACGCCGTCCCATGAAATCACCATTTGTTGCTGGGCCAAATCCCATGAATGTGGGTAATTCCCAATGCCATTTGCACCCCCAGTCACCATTAAAAAAAGGTGGTACATTGGTGGTTACCATTCCCAGTCACAGATGGTTTATCGGTTTATCATTGGATCATACAATGTGGGGCCCAGTTATAAGATGGTTTATAAACCCCATGAATACTATAGTTATAGGTACCATAAACCATAGTTATTGGAGTTATAAACCAACTTAGCTATCTACGGGGCCCCACTTTGTACCACATGAAACCCCTTGGATCAGCGGTGACAGGTGGTCACGGGCGGTGAATTCGTGGCGACTCCGCACTGCGTGCGCGGCGTGCGGCCGCAGTTTGTTCCTGCTGGGCGCAAGGTAACGAACGGTGGCCAGGGGACTGGGCGGGAAGGTGAGATGGTTGAAGTTGAAGTAGTGATTAAGAATCATTAACCATGATCAATGGCCATTTCAGGAACCTAAACCGGAGGTACCTACCATATATAAGGCCTATGTAAGGCCTATGTAAGGGGATATACCCCCAAAATATGGCCTTATATGGTACAGTGCCTCCATTTTAGGATCCTGAAATTCCCATTGATCATGGTTAATAATGGTTAATAATGATTAACACTGGTTAATGATTAATAAGGGTTAATAATGGCTGATAATGGCCAATAACTAATAATGGCATATAATTAATGGCTAACATGGAGGGTTTCTAAGTCATGGGGGTACCCACTTAAATCATCCAGTCGTCATGGATGACCATGACTTGGGGATGCCTAATTTTGAGAAACACCCATATGTGAAGATGGTTGATGATTGGAAATTATATAGGTATATGATGCTATTTGATGCTATTTGATTGGTGATCTAACGGAATTTCATCATTTACAGGATTTTTAACCAGCAAGAACACGGGGATATAGATAAAACGATGCTATGTTAATGAGCACTTAGGTCGGGGGTTATGCTACGCTACCCTGAATATGTTGGGGATTATCATAATCCACCAATAGTACCGCACAAGGCGGTGGCGGAAGTTTCAAAGATAGGACACTATAGGAGAGGTGAGTTGTTGTGATGCATGGATGGCAGAGCGAATCCACAGATGGACCGAAAGGTGGTTAAAGTTGGTGGTTGCAATGGTTGCAGTGGTCACCTCACCCACATCTGCTGGATGTAGTGTGGTGTAGTGCAGTTGTAGTTGTAGTGTCGTGGAGTTGTAATTGGAGTGTAGTGTATATAATTAGTGTAGCTGTAGCCGCAGCCGCAGCCGTAGTTGTGCTAAGCAAATTACCACTGACAGATGACCTAACATGATCTTCTTCTTCTTCTTTATCCTGAGGTGAAGTAGAAAAATGTGGTGCAATCCAAAAAAGTATCACTGAATTCATAAGCAACAAACTATGCCCATATAATCATATATAAAACTATTTAATATTGCACAGTTCCATCATATATCATGTATGATATGGCATGGTTCCCATATATATTAAATCATAGTTTTCATGGTTATATATTAAATACATACAATATAAACATATTTTTCCATGTATATTTTGGTTTCTTAAAAATATATCAAAACAACGCGACAACTACGACTGGCCGCTTTGAGAGAGGTGGCGCGTGTGGCTTGCCCCTGCTTCGTAGATACACATCCCACCTTCAAACTAAGGAGCTGCTGTGGATGTCATTCCTTGGTACGGGGATCGATCATGGGAAAATGAGGTTTTTTGGTGACGAGAGGATACCGTAGGTGACGAGAGGATATCAGAAGTGCTAAACAAACTAAATTTGATTATAGCAATAATCCACGGCGATCTGAACTCAGCAAATATAACCAACAATACCGATAAACAATAGAAAACCCATTTTGTATATAGATTGTATTTAATTATGGGATTCTTTATAACGGGAAGGGGTTAAAACAGTTATGTAATCCAAAGTGTTAATCGAACGTTACGTATACACCCAGCAATTCAAACGCTGGTGTATCTAGTCACTTGGGTATCTTATTTTCTGTTATGGACGGTATTTAATACAAGGAACAAGGGATTACCAAGAACATAAACAAGGACCAATATGAACAAGAATTCTGGGTGATGATATATATATATATATAATGATATACATATATATATATATACATTTATAATATACACCAACAAAACACAGTGTTTTGCCCAACAAACATGGGGAGGTTTTTATACACCAGCAACGGAAGTGACGATGTGCAGCTTTTGGCAAACGATTGGTTGCAGGATTCCCGAAGGCTTTTCGGCTGACGAGATGTTGGCCAAAGGCAGGGTACCTTCTTTTTGGACCTTAAAAAACCCGAAGTGGCCTATGATAAACGAGGGACATGACCAGTCTGAAAAAAAACCAGGCTTTCCAGGCTGACAGCCGCGGCAGCGTCTGTGCCAATTCTTGGGGGATGGTCATCAATTGTCATCAATTCAAGAATGCGGATGCTGCTACTCATGATGAATTCCGCACATCGTCGATTCGTCTAATCTAATCTGCTGTGTGGTTTCAATTTATGGACCCACGACATGCTGGACAGGTTGGGAAGGGATTACTCCACTCCACTGATGGGATTTCCCACCTGGAACTCCGAATCCAGTGATTTGACGAAGGGATCATTCCCCGCGCTTAACGATGATTTTCCATATCTGATACCCTCTGGTAAACTAACATAGCTATGGAAAATCCACCATTTTTCATGGGAAAACTCACGATTTCTATGGCCATTTTCAATAGCTTTTTGTTAAATCACCAGAGGGTACCATTTTTCACCGTTGAGTCTTTCGCGGGATTTCCCAGCCCTTAGTGGCGCGCCTCCCTTCACTTCAGCAGTTCCAGGTGTCTCCTCCAAGGTTCCACCGCTTGCGGAGCGTTGGGAGTGGGGTGGCCCGGGTGGATCGCCATGGATCGCCATGGATCGCCATGGAAAAAGATGAGGCCCTCTGGTTATGACTAACATAGCCATGGTATAGATGCCCCATAGAAACAGATGGTTTACCGTTTTTAAAAATGGGTGGATCTTTCCATGGCGAACTGTTAAATAACCAGATGGTATGTTCTATAGCTATGATGAATTGCCAGAGGGTAAACCTATGAATTACCATGGGAGTCGAATGGGATATGAATGGAATATGATGTACGCTATGTCAACCCGATGAAAACCGATGATGTTCGAGATCTATGTCAAAGTACCAGATGTAGAAGCGAAGGTGGGTGGCCTATTTGCAATGGTGAGCAGTCTTGCTCGAGAATGGCGATACAATGCGATACAATAAAATTGATTTGCAAGACTTGTCCCCTGTGAAATGTTACGTCGTGAGAAGGGGATGCTTCAGGTTTATGAAATGGCCATTACGAGGGTTATTCTATGTTATTGTCTAAAACTCGACATATAAATTGAGCCCTGTTCATGATAGTTTGCTGGCCAGACGTAGTGCACAGATTTTCTCATAACTAGCCTATAGCTATCTCGGCTCGTGCTTTTCCCATCAATTGTCCTGATTTTATCCAATAATTTCGGATAATTATCCCATCATTCCCCATATTTATCACATCATGGATTCCACATGTAATCATCCCAGAGGTTTCCAGAATTCTCGCAAACAAATTGTGATCTCAGACCTTTAGGCCCCCAAGAAAGGAATGTTTGCACGGCCAATGTGGAGTGTCACGATCCTCGGATGTTTGCAACATTTCGCAACCAATTCATTCACTCTATCACTCACTTGTCAGTTGTCTGTAAACCCACTAAAACCCACTAAAACATACATCAAGAAGTTGCTATGGCTCAAAATCTTAAGCACCTGAAATTAGACTCTTCATGGCCCGAAACATGCTCAGAGTTGCGCATCCGCTGCTTTTGGTTTCTGGTATGCGATAATTTCCAATAAATACCATGCTGTTTGGTGGTTTGGAACAGGAATTTTTATGACTTTCCATATCTTGGGAATGTCATCATCCCAACTGTTACTCACTCGTGTTTTTCAGAGGGGTAGGTATACCACCAACCAGCATGATTATATCGTATCCCATTATGGTGATTCTCATTATGGGATGGATGACGACTGGGGCCCCATTCATCCCATGTTTCACTTGACCCTAGCACATATCATGGATCCCATATATTTATTTGTCCCTTAAATTTTCCATAATTATTATTTCAATGAAATAACATCTCCAATCATTTCCAATAAATATAATAACTATATATCATTATCTCAATTATCTCATGATTTTCCATTTCCCATATAAATATCCCACATTCCCATGAGTTGTATTGAGTTTATCTCATGAATTCCTATGGCCATATCAGAATCACATACCATATTTCCCATACCTATATATCCCATCATTTCCAATAACTACCACAATTATAGAATCATGTCATGATTTCCCATATACTTACAGTATCCCAGAATTTCCCATAGTTGCATTGGAATCATGTCATTACTTTTATTGGATTTTTCCCGTGACGGTCATCACAGGTGTTTTCTTGGAATTCCAAGAAAATTCCCATAGTTAGATGAGTTTCCAATGTTTATCCATACTTGGCTAAACATCTCCCATGTCATTTTAACATCATTGGAAAATCTCTATCAAATTGGATTTGTCTCATTGGTGTTATATTGGACTCGTCCACTCGTCCCATAAGTTCTCATAGGTTCCTTTTGGGTCATACTGGAGGAGTTCCATATATTTATAGATCACCCCATAAGTTAGATCCGAATTGGGTTTACCTCATAATCCATGTTAGGATTTTCCCTGATAAACCATCCATTTTGGGTCCCCCAATTACGGACACCCCTAGAAATGGATCGGTTTACAATGGAAAATCCCATCTAGAAATGGATGATTTTCATATGGGGCTCCCCTTTTTTACTTAGGAAACTAACATAACTATGGAAAATCACCGATGGGAAAACTCACAATTTCTATGGCAATTTTCAATAGCTATTTTGACATCACCAGAGGGTATGACGTCAGGGAAACCGTGCCATATTTTGATCCCATGATTTTCGATCCAAGGCCTGGTCAGAGTTTCGGCGACTTCTTGGGTGCGACCTTCCGGCGCTACTACGCAAGCTGGCACGACTTGGCTGAGGGAACACTGGGCGGGATGGGGGGAAACGAGGGGAAAAGATGAAGTTCGATGTGAAGAATTTAGGGGAACATCAGATTATTTTCACGTGTTTAAGTGAAACTTTCGTAGTTTTTATTTTGCGATCTGATTTTGAGATATTTTGATCATGGCGATTCCATTCTTGCTTTGAGTCCGCAAAAAAGTTGGGATGGGTCAACTTTCATTGGGTACCCTCTGGTAAACTAACATAACTATGGAAAATCACAATTTTTAATGGAAAAACTCACGATAAATCACCATTTTTAATAGCTATGTTAAATTACCAGAGGGTATCCAGGAATTGGATTGACGCGACCGGGCTTTGTTGATCCAGGCTACACGTGTTTAGGTGGGAAAGCCTTGTATTTGCTAGCGGGTGGAAAACCGCGCGTGTAGTCGTGCTACTTTTTGAATATGGGGGTTGGGTGGGGTGGGGTGGGATATTAACGTGCATATACCATGCGTACAGACGTGGATGCTACGCTGCTGCTACGTCACTGTCACGTTAACAGTGCTACGCTGCTGCTACGTCACTGGGTTGGGTGGGGTGGGGGGGATATTAACGTTAACAGGTGGATGCTACGCTGCTGCTACGTCACTGGTCAGGGGTTGGGTGTGGTGGGGTGGGTTCATGTACCATGCGTACATACGTGGATGCTACGCTGCTGCTACGTCACTGGTCAGGGGTTGGTGGGGTGGGGTGGGATATTAACGTTCATGTACCATGCGTACAGACGTGGATGCTACGCTGCTGCTACGTCACTGGTCAGGGGTTGGGTGTGGTGGGGTGGGTTCATGTACCATGCGTACATACGTGGATGCTACGCTGCTGCTACGTCACTGTTCAGGGGTTGTGTGGGGTGGGGTGGGATATTAACGTTCATGTACCATGCGTACAGACGTGGATGCTACGCTGCTGCTACGTCACTGGTCAGGGGTTGGGTGTGGTGGGGTGGGTTCATGTACCATGCGTACATACGTGGATGCTACGCTGCTGCTACGTCACTGGTCAGGGGTTGGGTGGGGTGGGGTGGGATATTAACGTTCATGTACCATGCGTACACAATCTGCTTCATGAAGCTTGCAATCACAGTAAGCTTCAATCGATGGAATGTGGAAAATTTCCAAAGGTGCAGTGTCATCCTCTTGGAGCACACGTAAAGATTGTGCTGTGAACCCTCAATTGCTTCAAGGAATAAGGATTTGGCAATGGCGATGGCACCATGGAAATTCCACTGACTTCCTCAGTCTCACAGGCCGCGCTCTAAGCAAACGCTTGGAGAAGTGACAAGCCAGCGAAGAACAAGGAAAACGCTTCCACCCCGCCACAACCACAAAACCCTGTAAATACCACGACATTCCTTCAAAGTCACTCAATTTTGACCGGCAAAATTTAAGGTGATGTTCATCATAAAATGTGTACGGGGCCACAGCGCCAGAAGAGTTTCTTTTCAAAAAGTGCTTAACCGCTAGCGCGGTTTCCCACCCGCCGGGTTGTATTTGATGCTTCACCCAACATGGCAATCCAATATGGCTAGCTGGGAAATCCTAATAAAATCACCAGATTTCTCCCAGTTATTGGGAACCCTAATAAGCCAATATTTATTGATAGCTGGGAAATCCCCAATAAATGATGATTATGATTATTAGCTGGGAAATCCTCATCATCATTTGCTGGGGATTTCCCAGCTATCTTCGATTACCTGTGTCGCTGAGGACTGGGCACTGGGAAAGTCGGGTCCTGCGGCAAAGAAAGCGCGGACGGCATGACGGTCGGGATGGTGATATCATCCCGTGCGGACCGGTGGTTCCAGAAATGTCAAGTTGGTTCAGCTGGAGCCATGGTTTTTTTCCATGTTTTTTCTATCAAATTCGACCCAAAGCAACTCGCTGAGATCGAACCACCAGCGGAGACGGTTACCAAAAGGGCAGCGGACCTGTACATACGCTGAGCATTTTGGCCCAGCAACCCATCTGAAGGAAGTGATGGCATCGTCTGCTTGAGATGAATGTCATGAGTTGGGCCGGTGGATCAAACTAAGGTCGGCATGAAATGGGTTACTACAGTATGGCGGTATCGTTAAAGTTTCTTACAGTAGAATAGTTCACAAGAATCAATTTCACTACAGTATTGTTCGCAGAGGGGAGCATAGTGAACACAATTGGAGCATTTTGCTAAACAAAAACAGGATGAGGAACAAACCAGCAACATCTGTTCGTGTTTGATCGCCAAGCCCAACCATTCGGATTATTTTGCCAACACCTGACGCAGCGAACGGCGAACGCCGCTGCGGAAACGGAGAACCTTTTGCGACCGACAAATGTGCGCTACAGGATCAGCGGTCGCGGGACCGTTTCACAGTTTTAACCCCAAGAAACCTCCAGTTTGTGCCTTCCTTAGCACCCATTGCGGTCGCCCTAGCCATGTCCTAGCCATGTCCTTACCGAAAGGCAGATCTGGATATACTGTTGGTTACATATCCCATTATGTATCCCATGATGTCCCCATTATCTCCCCATTATATGCCCATTATCTCTCCATTAACATACATATATATATGTATATATGTATGTATGTATGTATGTATATATATAATATATATATATCAAACAAGATCCTAATTTCAAACGAGTGCCCCTCATCTTGGCAGGTGCTCTTTTCCGTCTTTGGCAACAACCTTTCAGGCTGGGTGGAGCAGGGAAGAAGGAACCCAGAACGATTCGCCAATGATGGGTTTTTCCGAAGAATAGCTACAGCGAGTTCAATGTGGTGCCCCATCTTAGCTGTCGTAGCTAAGGTGCTTTATAAGTGGGTTGGCGATTGGGTTTGTGGTAAAAGAATATGGTATATACAATAATAATCGATGATATATGTCAAATATCTATGATTGGATGGGTTAACTTGAGTTTTCTTAGGAGACCGGGCAAAGGCCAAACAAACAAAACGGTTGGTATTATTATAGCCCATCCCATCTGGGGATGCACATGCATGGATGTTTGGAGCATCCTTTTACAGGACATTTTGATGGAACATGTGGCCAAAATATGTTGCTGCGCCAAGATATTGCGCCTGCCACTCATTGATGTACTGCGCCTGCCACGTGACTTGTCTTAAGTTCTTAAGATGTTGCGCCTGCCACTCATTGATGCTTTGCGCCTGCCTATCTATATCATAGAAAATCATAGAAAATCATAGAAAATCATAGAAAATCATAGAAAATCAGTACAATCAATATCATAGATCATAATTATAATCAAGTGGACTATCAGTAGATTTCCATGATATGTAGGGAAGGGCATACCAAAAAATACATCACCACGTCATCAATCACTACTTGGGGGGTCGCTAAAGGGGGAAGGAAGGGTCTGGGTGAGAAACCCTTAAGAAAACCAAATGAGAATCTAGGATTTACATCATCGAAATAGTGATTCAGCGATGCCTGTTCGACACAGTTTCGGAGCTGAACGTTCGGCTCCGTAACTCGACTAGCCAGGCTGAGGTTGTTGAGAAAAAATCACCTGTGTAGGTCCCTCCCAACTTGTTTGGAACTAGAAGTGAGGAAGCTGATCATCACCAATTCGGAGCTGAACGTTCGGCTCTGAATTAGTGACTTGCAGTGTGCGTTGAAACCTTGTTTGGAGTTTTCAGGGTGTGCAGTTTGGTCTGACCCAGACTCTCCAACATTCCTACCTTCCCCTTTAGCGACCCCCCAAGTAGTGATTGATGACGTGGTGATGTATTTTTTGGTATGCCCTTCCCCCCATACTTACATATCATGGAAATCTACTGATAGTCCACTTGATTTTAATTATGATCTATGATATTGATTGTACTGATTTTCTATGATTTTCTATGATTTTCTATGATATAGATAGGCAGGCGCAAAGCATCAATGAGTGGCAGGCGCAACATCTTAAGAACTTAAGACAAGTCACGTGGCAGGCGCAGTACATCAATGAGTGGCAGGCGCAATATCTTGGCGCAGCAACATATTTTGGCCACATGTTCCATCAAAATGTCCTGCAAAAGGATGCTCCAAACATCCATGCATGTGCATCCCCAGATGGGATGGGCTATAATAATACCAACCGTTTTGTTTGTTTGGCCTTTGCCCGGTCTCCTAAGAAAACTCAAGTTAATATATCACTTTATGAATGGAGGGGGGGGCCGTCGTTTTGCCAGGCTTAATTTTAATGGAGCTCATGGACAACGATGTCTCAGGCTGGGGCGGCTGGTGAGCCGTGATAACCGAGAAGAATGGGGATGTGGAATCCATGTCTTCTGGGGCTGAAACCCATGGAATTCCATCATTTCGTTGGGTAGAATACTCTGATTTCCTGGTATTTTCTCTGTCAACTTGGGGAAGACTAATGACACCAACGACTTTTGACAGTAGGTGGTACATCATACGAATCATACCCATCTGGCAACCTTTGAGACCTGGTAGGAGTGCTGGGGGAAATGAGTTGCAAAAACTCGAGTTATTCCATGAAATCCCCATGGTATGGTGAAGTTCCTCTGCTGGGATGACTGGGAATCCCCATTTTTGAGCGCCGTTTGGCTTGACCTGCAATGGGCCACCATGGGTTTCATGTCATTTTCCCAGCTCAGCTCTAGCATCTTTGATCATTGCAATATTCCGTGAATTCTGAGAGTTTATGGTAAGAACCAATGGTGTCAAGAAATGAGGCTAAAAACCACAACAATCCTATGGTTTCCTGTGAAATTGGATGTAATTCCGAATTCCCCATGTTTTCCAAGCTCAGGAGCTGTGAGCCTGATCTCCTTCCTCGTGCGGTGCGATCAGGAGTTCCTTAGGGTCTCCTTGGTGGCTAGATTAGGACCAGCAAAAAGTATGAAGACTTGAACCAACCAGAATAGTGATCTCTCTATGATTCATAACTTTTTGAACATCTCAGAAGATCATATCATCATTTCGACTGGAGACGACTGGAGACGACTGGAGACGACTGGAGACGACTGGAGACGACTGGAGACGACTGGAGACTTGGGTGTTTCCTAAAAAAATAGGCTAAGCGTACCCCTTTTCGACCAATACTTTGGATGTGGGAGTTGAACTGATCATCCACGGATCCGGCCTATCGGCTGTTTGAGTGTTTTCCAGTGATGATCCTTAAACTGAAACACTGCTATGTAAATATGAGCCATATCATGTTATGTTTTTTCTTTACCATAATTTAAGGTTCCAATGAGACCCATATTATACTATATTATACTCGCAATTTGAAGTAAAACATAAGCCATCACGTTACAATGTTCCATTTTTATTTCCATGCCCATGTATATACCAAACTTGTTACTTCAACAAAAAATCTGGATGTCAAATTCAAATGGTTCAAATCCCCAATTTTAAAAACAAGATGTCCAATGGACAATCCAGCAATTTTTATCATCATTTATAATTAGTCTATTTTCCATGGGATTTTCCCATGAGAAAAACCCTCCCCGTTTTCCCTGGGGGATAGACTCGAGACATCCGATCTGCGCGCCTGCGCGAGGCGCCCTTCGAGTTGCAATCCGCCGCGGGGCAATGCTTGGTGCAGCTGACCAGCGCCGACTCGGTCTTTCTGTCGAAGAGCCCGGAGGGTGCGCCGCCAGGGCCAGGGCCAGGTTTCGGCCTTTTCTGTGTCTGGAAATGTGGGGATTTACCCATGAAAATCCATCATTTTTAAATGGGATGATAGTGGGAAAATGGGATAAACATGGGACAATGATAGCATATAATGTGGGTAAAACATGGTAAGATGGTGATTCAATGGGATGATCATGCTGGTTTACTGGAACGATCATGGGATATTTCATGTGGGTAAAACAATACCCAGTCACCATCACCCAGTCACCATAAATAATTCATAAATAATTCATAAATTGGTTGGAAAAAAACGAACCATTCTAAGAACCAGTCATATCAGTCATATCAGTCATGGGTGATTTATGGCTTTTTGTGCTTCTTGACCTGGCATGAAACTATTGAAACTCGGAGTTATCCCAACCTCACTATGGATGAAGATCAGTGGTTATCCCGATAGGCTGGATAGGCGTAGTGCTAGGCTATGATAGCTGGTAAACGTGATGTAATTTCTGAAGGCCTGCAATATGACATTTTCGAGGATTCGGCAATTTTTAAAGAACACATCTAGTTTTTTTCAATTTGTGATAGTCTTTATCGTTTTTTTAGACCACTGTGTGATCTTTTTTTTTCCCGAAAATATAGGGTCTAGATCGAAAGCCAATATTTTACCAATAAATAATCATCCATAACCTAAAATTTCAAAACACCGGAAACCGGCAAAACACAATAAAATTCTGTCATTTTGCCGTAAAAAACCGTTTCAGATCTCAGCGCTTCGGTGTTCATCTCGGTCGGCATCGATTTTTTGAACTTCTCTCGGGACATACAACTGCCACAGGAGCAAGGGCGTTGATTATGCAACGCTCCTGCATGAGCGTTGCATGCTTGCCAACATATTCTTCATTTGATGGGATGGATGCAGCAAGCCTCAAGACATGAGAAGAAAGGGGTGCAGAACTTCATTAGGCCTAGCAGCCTAGCAGCGGTCTGTTGCTGCATCACGCCGCAGTCAATGAATCATGTGATGTGGTTTTGCTCAAAATCAACCGACACATGTTACATATTGCGAACCCCGAAAACCCGGGTTTTCGGAAAACATGTGTTTCTTCTTAAACCATCGTTTTTTCGTGGGTTTGGTTGCGTAAGGTATTAGTGTACCCTCTGGTAAACTAACATAACTATGGAAAATCACCATTTTTAATGGGAAAATCCACTATAAATGGCAATTTTCAATAGCTATGTTAGTTTACCAGAGGGTAATGTAATGTGTGAAGCTTCGCTACATCAAATCCCTCTCTGAATCTCTGTCAGGAAGCGAGGACTGGCAGAATGAGCAGATCACCAAGCTCACGGGCATGTTGAACCGTGCCTCGGTGGCTGGGATCTTTGGGTGGTTTCCCTGAAGATTGCCCCTTAAAACGGATGGATTGCCCGGCAACATCCGGCAACAATGATGCATGTTGGGTGTTGATTGGACCCCGAGAGAAATACAACCCGATTTAGGTCCTCTGAAAAACGTACACAGGATGAATAATGGCAACTGGTGGGAATGGGTCAGATTTGTTCCATTCCCTCGTCCTCACAGACTTTGGTGAAATGGTGACATTCCCCTCTCCTTTTGTCCCATCGGGCTCGAAGACTGAGGTCACGTGAATGGCTTGATCAAGGCTCGATGCATTCCCTTCAATGTTGGATTGGATCAGGGAGCTGCCAGCTTAGTTTGCACAGTTTCATTTGTAAACCTAAGAAGAAACCATCATTTTGATTCATTTTAGGGATTGTGTTACACAATGCCACCGATTTATGGCAAGTCTGGCAAGTCATTGGGAATGGTTTATTGTTTTGGGTTTACCACATCAATAGCCGCAGCCGATGACTGGGCATGGACCTGCGACGTTGAGGGCCTCATCCAGTTTGACATTGTCGAAGCGTTTGGGCGCTGCATTTGTCAACACCAGATGAGCACTTAGCTCAGCACGGTTTGTCCAGGCAGATTAGCAGATGGGGTAGACGGTAGACCCCAAAATGGGCGTTGAACACGATTTTCAACAGGGAAAATGAATGATATACGACTGGATATTACTGGGTTTTGGTGTATACACGGTGTACCATATTTTCCGACAAAGCCCTGTGGAAGGTCGCCTAACAGGGTTTTCCAGTCTGATTTGACGCCAAACAGATTGCGGAGCGCGGTTGCCTTGAGCCACATGGCAATTTCAAGAGGGAAAATGATAATGAACCGTAGGATTCGTAGGATTTAGGGTGCAGGGATACCCTATTTTCAGACACCTCCAGATGTTAAGTTCCCATGCACCAAGCAGGTGGGTCATGTGACAGGTGGAGTCATCTTAGATTACCATCACCTCATTGAGCCTGTTCGAGGCCATGCTCGAACGGACATCATCGTCAAGTACTTCCTCACGACTGTAAGTGCTCCCAGAAGCCGCAGAAGCATGGCACATGGGACGTGGGTTGCTCCTATGTGCTCCTCTAACAAGGGTATATACACTGGAAATTATTGGTTTCTTCGCTTGGTTTTTTTTTGGGCGTACGATTTTTTTGAGAAGCAAAGGTGCTAAACCATGGAAGCAAGAAGAAGATGTTCTAATGAGAGCTTAGATGATATATATATATACAGTATCAATAAATAAATAAATGAATAAATAAATAAATAAATAATAAATAAATAAATAAATAAAAAATAAATAAACAAACAAACACTATATATATATAAATATCCTTCGATTTTTGATCACATGCACACGTTTGAAGGTGGTTTTGACTTGCTTTTGTGAGAGACATTTCCATTCATGCATCTTGCTGTCGCAGCGAGCGCCGGTGCGAAATGTTTTTTTCCGTGCTGAGATCCACAACTGCCTGTTGTACTGCTCGGAGAATCAGAAAAAGTTGCGGTCCGCGACTCAGTTTGTGGTACCCTCGTCATCAAACAGGGCTGGTTCGGAAATCCCCGAACTCATCAGCCCTGGTTTGTAGCTGGAGAATCATCGAAGTCAATGAGGGAAATTTCTTGTCGGCTCGAGTTTCTGCGGCCAAGGCAACACTTGGCGACCCAGAGCACGATTGTGCAGGCTCATGACTTTTCTGCAACATCTCTTTAAGTCAGCCCGTATTAGGTGGTTAAATCATGGTCAATCCTGAATTTTGCTGGGTAGGGACGGTAGGGCAGTCCTGCTTTGCTCACTGGACACCAAGTCAGCCGAGTCAACCGAGTCAGCGGAAGCTGTTTGAAACAACCCCTAAGTCGCTTCAATTCACATGTTTCAAGTTGAAACATGGTGAAACCGCTCCAGTTTTGCCGCGATGAGCCGATGAGTCTGGTGAGTCTGGTGTGGTTCAAAAGCCAGGACATCATGATCCCGTACGTCTACAACATCCTGCCTGCCCTGTACGACAATCCAGCAGCCGCTCCCTTGGCACTGAAGTTTTGACAGGGCCACGGATGAACATCTCTCAAGGTGGCCCTGGAGGAGCTAAAAACTGGAGATATTAACAAAAAAGGTTTCTTGACCAATAGGAATTGGTTTACTTTAATCACTTTAATCGACAACAATGCCTTCTGAAACGATCAAAGTGGACCCTGAACCACACAAATATACAAAAATGGGTTCTTCATCCACACAAAAAACTGTCCTCAACCAACGAAAATGAGATTTGAATGCTTTCTAATCAAAAACAAGTTCTGAACCTCCTAAAATGATATTTGCACCAACATTATCAATATTTGTCCAAGAAAACGTGTATTTGAACGGTTGGGTTTACAAGCAAGATCCAAAGTACTGGGATTCTTTCCATGTTTGAGCCACCTCCGATTTTTTTGCTTGTTAAAACGTTTGCCGGGTGAACTTTGACCCAGCAAAAAAACCTCCCGTGGGGGAGCTCTTTGGCTAAGTCCCAAATTTTACCGGCCGTGCCCAGTGTGGACCAGCCCTCATCGAGTGGCAGAATCTCAAGGTGCGCGGAATAAAAGGCATTGGGTTTACCAAAGCTCCAGTCACTATATAGCCCAGCTATAACCCAAATGATCCAGCTTTGGGAAAAAAAACTGAGAAATCTTTGGTAATTACTTACGGATTTAGATCCAAACGGTTTGGGGCAATAAGAATGGTGGTCGCAAACACGCAAAGTACTACAGAGTACGAACACATAGAACAACACCAACGAATCGATCGAACTGCGCAAACTCGACATCCCGACCGATCAGGGGTCGAATTATCAAACTCAACCACCCTTTTTTAGAGGGGTCACTTGGCTTGCAGGTAGATGACCAATTTTAACTATTGTTGCACTGATTTACGAATGGTCTGAATATATCGAAAAACAGATTGTATACATATAATATCATATAATTATAATATATATACATATATATATAATATAATATGTATATATATAAAAAAATATATAATATATATATATATATAAAATAATATATATATATAATATAATATATATACATAATATAATATAATATAATATAATATAATATAATATCATATAATATCATATAATATAATATAATATAATATAATATAATATAATACAATATAATATATAATATAATATAATATAATATATATATATATATACATTATATGTATAATTTATAATATAATATATATATATATAATATTATACATATAATATCAACACATATGATATATTACACACACATGATTCATGACTTTGGGCGGTTTTCGCCTGGGCACAGGCGACCTTACAGACTTTCGTCGTGGTCACCTTCAACATCAACGTGCGCTCTTCCAGGGCGGGTCCTGGGGTCATTGTGGGGTCAACACTATGGCATGACTATGGGAAGATCATGATTTACCACTGGATAGATACGCGTTTTTTCGAAATTCCTATCATAAGACAATTTACATAATAGAATTATGGGTGTATGGATTGATCATGATTAATCCTTTCCCCCTATTACTAAACTAAACCCCCAAATACTAAAAACTAGGGTCCATCTCCCATTTTGGAAAATTTCAGGTTGGCCAATTTGAAATTTTAATTCCCCTTTAGAAAACAATATAAAAATAAAGCTACCATTTGTGGGTTTCGCCCCCTAATAATAAAAACTAGTCAACCCCGGGGTGTTTATTATTAGGGTCCGTCCGATTTTCTTTAGATTTTTATATTAGGGCTTTTAATCTATTATTAGGGCCCGCTTGGAAAAACAATTTTTGGCAATATTTTAATTGCGTAATATAGGGACATTTAATTGATTTTGAAATCGGAAGACATAGTTTTTATCATTAAGGTTTCAAATTTATTAATAGGGTCCGCTTCGAAATCCAATTTTTGGCAATATTTTAATTGCGTTATAAAAGGGCTTTTAATTTATTTTGAAATCAAAAAAATAATTTTTATTATTAAGGTCTTAAATTTATTAATAGGGTCCGCTTCGAAATCCAATTTTTGGCAATATTTTGATTGCGTTATAAAAGGAAATTTAATTGATTTTGAAATCGAAAAAATAGTTTTCATTATTAAGGTCTTAAATTTATCAATAGGGTCCGCTTCGAAATCCAATTTTTGGCAATATTTTGATTGCGTTATAAAAGGAAATTTAATTGATTTTGAAATCGGAAAACATAGTTTTTTATTATTAAGGTCTTGAATTTATTAATAGGGTCCGCTTCGAAATTCAATTTTTGGCAATATTTTGATTGCGTTATAAAAGGAAATTTAATTGATTTTGAAATCGGAAAACATAGTTTTTTATTATTAAGGTCTTGAATTTATTAATAGGGTCCGCTTCGAAATCCAATTTTTGGCAATATTTTGATTGCGTTATAAAAGGAAATTTAATTGATTTTGAAATCGGAAAACATAGTTTTTTATTATTAAGGTCTTGAATTTACTAATAGGGTCCGCTTCGAAATTCAATTTTTGGCAATATTTTGATTGCGTTATAAAAGGAAATTTAATTGATTTTGAAATCGGAAAAAGTAGTTTTTATTATCAAGGTCTTAAATTTATTAATAGGGTTCCCTAATAATAAATACCACCCTAATAATAAAAACTACCTGAGGTGTTTATTATTTAGGGGACGTTTAGTATTAGAGGGAAGGAATGACTATTTTATAAAGTTAAATTATGTTCCTGTCATATCCTAGTAATAAATCCAACAGTTTCCACCACGTTGGATCAGAAGAACTGAGTACCGGGAATCGGCTCCAAATTGGCGCCAACTTGGATTCAATACCATAGGATATTATAGGGTATTATAGGATATTATAGGGATATTCAATCATCAATACTATAAAATGGTTCTTATTGTTGATTTGTTGGGGGTAGCAACATTTGAGGAAACCTCGCAGCGATCATTTGCGTTTGAGTCTTCTTCTTCTCAGAAACAGTTCGCGATCGCTTCAACAGCACCAAGGTCTATAGACCGCAACTGCGGGACTCAGACATGATCCCCAAGTTGTGCGAGGCGCCCGACCTGCTGGGGGTACCATTGGGTACCATGTTTTCAGACCTGGAAAAAGCAGGGTGTAGACCTCCGTGTCGACCTCCGTATTTTCCTGCAGAAAATCATGCAGAAGAACGACCTGTATGAGATTCGATTCTGACAAAACACATGACAGACTCGAATTTCCGACGTGAGATTTCTGAGATTTCTCTGAATCAGATCCACTTGTTAGGTGCCTGGTATTCTGACCCATGTGTCCATGTTGGAGCTGCTTGTCCGCCCCTAAGATTTGAATGCTTCGGATCTAAAATCAGAGGTCAGGCCATAGGGAGGCACATTGTGGTCACCAATAAAACTTGAACATCTTTGAACTAGTTTGTTGTTACTAATTACATCTAATTACCCTCTGGTAATCAAACATGATGAAACATGATGAAACATGATGAAACGTGTCAATGGACAATCCTCAGTGCGATGATTTTCGCTACAACCCTCCATGAATCCTCCATGTATACTTCGAATGCCGTAGAGGCTACAAACCTTGAGGGTGCAGTTGAGGCTACACATGGGAATACGGTATACGGTTTTCATTGTGGTTATTATGGTTATTATGGTAAAATTATGGTTATTATGGTTATTATGGTTATAATTATGGTTAAATCCCAATTATGGTTATTATGGTTATACACCTCATAAATTGGGATTTAAGCCCTTTAACATGCACCTATGACTGGAACTGCACTTCGTTCCAGAATTTCCCATGGAGGACTCCTGCCGCGTTTCCGTCTGCTAAGATCAAGCTGTCCATCAACGTGGACTACTCTAAGGGACCGTCAGCTGGCTCGGCGGCTGGTGGGTCTCTGGGGAGAAAGTACAGGAAACTTGAGTCTTAGATATCCTAGATGTACAAGGGTTGGTAAATGTCCTGTTTTAGGGGATTTTGAACATCACTTTCAAGTATTTGTTGGTGATTCTTTAAGGGCTGCCGCCCCTACCGCCGACCCCGGAAAAAAAAGGACGAGGTGTTTTTGCCAAATAGCAGATATGGAGGTTTGAGATGACCGAAGACGTGTGGGTCCTCAATAGAAGCTTCAGTCAGGTACGTAGATGTTGGAGATTAGACTCGTTGACATGTTTCATTGATCCTTGTAAGGATAACAGAAATGATTTTATATGGAACAGTGTCGATTGTTATTGCAGAATCAGTTTGAACATGGTGTTTTGGTGCGCTACATCAGCAGGGCCCAATGCACGTCAAGTGGAAGGGATGAAGCAAGAGAGGAAAAATAAGCACTTATGGAAAGGCTTATAATCAGGAAAGGTGCCTAACGTTGCGTATGAAACATTGGAAAACCCGCACTTCTTGCCACCCCTTCTAGAAAAAGGCTTTTAAACGGGAAAAGTGCCGAACGTTGCTTCTAAAACCTTAGAACATGAAGCTTCTATGCTTTTCGCACTTCTTGCCACCCCTTCTAGAAAGGCTTTGAAACGGGAAAAGTGCCTAACGTTGCTTCTAAAACCTTAGAAAATGAAGTTTCTATGCTTTTTCGCACTTCTTGCCACCTTCTAGAAAGGCTTTGAAACGGGAAAAGTGACTAAGGTTGCTTCAGAAACCTTAGAAAATAAAATTTCTATCTTTTTTTTTTTGCATGTCTTGCCACCACCTAATAAGGCTCATAAACGGGAAAAGTGCCTAACGTTGCTTCTGAAACCTTAGAGATAGGAAATGAAGTTTCGCATGTCTTGCCACCTTCTAGAAAGGCTTATCAACGGGAAAAGTGCCTAATGTTGCTTCTAAAGCCTTAGAAAATGATGTTTCTCGGTTTTTGCGCACTTCTTGCCACCTTCTAGAAAAAGGCTTAAACAACGGAAAAAAACTTACCGTTGCTTCTGAAACCTTAGAAAATGAAGGCTTTCACGCATGTCTTGCTGCGTTCCAGAAAGGCTTATAAACGGGAAACACGCTTAACGTTGCTTCTGGAACCTTTGAAAACGGAGTTTCTCTGCTTTTCTGCGCTTCTTGCCACCTTCAAGGCTTATAAACGTGAAAAGTGTGTAACTTTGCTTCTGAAACCCTAGAAAGCGAAGGTTCTGTGTCTTTTTCGCATTTCTTGCCACGTTGCTTCTGAAACCCTACGGAGTAGCATAAATAGTATCCTAGTACTAGTACTAGTACTGATACCCGTACTAGTACTAGTACTACTAGTAGTACTAGTAGTAGTATCGAACCTTTTGCGTGCTTTTTCCCATGTTCTTGAAACCCTCTGAAACCCTCTGAAACCCTCTGAAACCCTCTGAGGAGTAGTACAATATAATTACAATATAATTGCAATATAATTACAATAATAATAATAATACTAGTAGTAGTAGTAGTAGCAGCAGCAGCAGCAGCAGCAGTAGCAGTAGCAGTAGCAGTAGCAGTAGCAGTAGCAGTAGTAGTAGCAGCATCAGCAGTGGTGGTGGTGGTGGTGGTAGTAGTAGTAGTAGTAGTAGTTGTTGTTGTTGTTGTTGTTGGAGAAACAGAAACAGAAACCTGTAATCCTTGACGCGCTCCCCCTTGCATCAGCCGGGGTCGGCGGATATCCCCAATAGTTGGGTGATGTTCAATTAGGACATTTACCAACCCCTGAAGTAGTGTTACCACATATGAGGCTTTCCTGTAGCATTTCCTGCACCATTTCCCGCAAAATCAATCCGGAACTTTTCGAAATAGAAGAGAAATGGAACATTCCCAAACCCTGATTGAAGACGGCATCCGTTGGGCATTTTGATATAGTCGGGATGAGATACACCAAGTTTCATCAGTAAGTCTCTGAGGTTCACCAAAGTGTCCAATGTTCACAGTTGGGATCCGTTTTCAGTGGTGGGACTCCCAAGCGGTGATCATTTTAACGGCCGAGGTTCTGCGATATGCTGACGCAGCTCTTCCAGGCGCGGGCGATGTGTTTCGTTACTGTTGCTTATGGCAGTCCTATCATCTTCACATTGGACAAGTTATTTTTGAAACTTATCAAACCCACATCTCCCCAAGGACAAGTCGACATCGATCTATATTTTCATCATTTTTTATCCGATGTTGATTCTAAATGGGTTTGTCTGAAAATAGTGTATCTCATATTCCAATGGATTATCACCATGTTCCCCATGAAAATTGCTATGAATGTGGGTATCCCCTATTTTCAGACAAACCGAAATGGAGGTTTCCTAAAATTGGGGTACCGCAGAGTGCGGGTACAATCCGCCGGATTGCTTGCGATTCCAGGGGGCCTTTAAGCAGTTGTCGCAAGAAAACCAGGCTGTTTTGGGGGCCGTGGAGGGAGCAGTGAAGGGAGCCAGGGTTATGACCTTTGCAGGTTTCGTTATGTGGATACCCCCAAATCATCCAAGTCATTAGACTCATTAGACCATTTTAGGACTGAAACCCATGGTAACTTGGGGATCCCCACTTCCAGAAATCAGAAACTTCCATATTCATCCATATTCTCTATCAATTGGGGAGCGAAGGAGCTGGGAATTGAGTTTCCCACCTGATGGTAGATCTGAAATGGAGGAATTGCACTGAGAAATCACCCAAATGAGAGTATCATCCGATGTCAATCCTAAGATTGGATGGAGGATGGATGAATACGAAGTAAATTTTTAAGATATTTTAAGACTGTGGATTTTGTGCAATAACGGGCGCTGCAGAAGTATAGCTATTTTTTTGTTTGTAAATCCCACAATGTCAGGACTCTCGGAGGCCACCTATGTTTGTTGGCTCGTGAAAGACGATGATCAACTGACAACCATCCCCCCAACATGGCCTGCCAGATATGGGACTGGAAGACTAGAAACTCCTCTTAAAAGGGCCAATTCTTATAATTCTTAGGGTCTATGTTACAGTAAGATTTTCGTCTTTTTAAAGAATTGTTTTCAGAGGGATTGTTCAACATGGCTCAACCACCAATCTTGGTTCTATCCCCACTTACGCTCCCATAAGCAACCGTGGCAATGGAAATCCCCGATCGAAATTGAGGTTTCTAGCTGGGAACATCTATAAATTATAAATGATAGATTTTCCATTGCCATGGTTTGATCATGTTTGATCACCGAAAGGTCTTTCCATTATTATCCCAATTACTACTATCCCAGTCACTATTTGGCCATAATAAAAAATATGAATCCCATGCATCATTCCATCAATCCCATTAAGATGAGTAATCATTAGTACTGATCATCCCAATTACCATACATCCCAACTAATCATCCAACTAATCATCCAACTAATCATCCAATTGTAATATATGTAACATAAAATCTAATCCCATAATATCCATCCAATTGTAATATATGTAATATAAAATCTATATATATATACACATATAATCCCATAAACATAAAACATTCGTATTCAGATCAGTTTTAAACCAATTCCTTCGAACAAGGCGCCTCGTTGCCAGCCTGGTTGCCAAGGTCCGGCTGCAACGGCGCCTCACTTGCGAGCAGAGTATGCGGCTACCGTTCACCCGATCCTCCCTGAAGGCAGGGGGCCTTGAAATGCTCAAGGACGAAAGTGGGATCGAAGACGGATGTTCGGGAGTGGCTTGAGATAGATTTGAGTATAGATTTGTGTATCTGAAAATTTGAAGCCTCAAGTTATGACAATTTGAACAGGGAAGATTGTGGTTTTCACTTTGATAAACCATAACATGTTTGTTTCTTTTTGGCAGTTTCAAATTGGAACGGTTCAAAATATTTTACCTTCCTGACCTTGGGATTAGAAGTGCCAATCTTGTGGGTCCATTGTAGGCAGCTTTACGATACCAACGCGCAGGAAACAGCAGACATTGCGTAGGCTTTGTGTAGGTGTTGGCATAGATAAACAAATCAATAACCGTTTTGAGAAAGACCCACATCCAAATGTACCATGTCGGGGAGTTTCATCTGCGGATGGGGTCGTCTCTATGCCAGCCCAGCAGGGGAGAAGAATCTCTGTGATGACATCATCCTTGTCTTTATGTCTTCCGCGGCGATGTGAAATATCATGTGTATATGGAGGTTTCCTGAAACAGGGGTAGCTCCAAATCATCCACTTTATGTTCGGTTTTTATGGAAACCCCCATATCATGATCATCTTCACTGATCTCCACGGTCGCGAAGTTTCGCACATCGAAACCACTCCAGTGGAACGGTCATGGAAACTCCCACAGGGTTTCGGCGTCACCAGGCGTGTGAGCTGCTGGCCTTTGCTTTGGCCGCCCCTGATCAGGTGGGGGGATCGGCACCGGAACCATGGGAAAGATGGTTGCTTTATAATTGACAAAATTCTACTAAAATGGACGATTTGGGGGTTACCCCATTTAGATATTTTAGTTTTTTTTAAGGATACCCCGAGATAGCCTCTGGTAGTCCAACAATGAAAGTGGGAAATACATGGAATACCCAGTTTCCATGGGAAAAAAACGGACGACTTTTAGTGAAATTTCTTCATTGCCAGGTGGTGATTTCATCACGTTTGCCCACCATGAATATCCCGCAATATTCGTACCCAGTATGGGTTGAAGGGTTGAAAGGAAAACAGGAAAATCCAAGATTTGAGGATGCTTTCCTGTACATTTTCCTGTACATTTTCCCCTTCGTTCCATCTTGGCGCCGCAGGCGTCCACTGAGGCGGCTCCGCCGAAATCGCGTCGAAAAGGCAAGTGGCGCCACGCGAAACAGGCGCCGGGCCGGGAAGGTCTTTGGCGACGGTCGCGACGTGACTGCAAAATGATGGCCAATGGCCATAATAAGCAGAATCATCCGCAAATGGCCTCATTGTGAATTATTGTCATTTATCAATAGGATCTAAGCAGGATCAATTGGTAGAAAATTGTGATAGTTCCAAGTTCCAAGTGTAAATGAGGCTCCAAATTCATCAGGTGGTGGGGTGGTGGATAGTTCCTTAATGTTTTGTCGCCCGAGTCACACACTTTTTTCGCCAGGGAGATGAAACTCCGTCGGCTTCACGTGTCTTAGTTTGATTCCCAGGGTTTCAAGCTGGTTACCCTCTGGTTATGTCAAAATAGCTATTGAAAATGACCATTCATAGTGGATTTTCCCATTAAACATTGTGATTTTCCATAGTTATGTTAGTTTACCAGAGGGTACATCCCTATATTGCAAATGAGTTGGCCTCATAAGATGCCTTTGGCTGTCCCATCAAATGGTTGTAATTTGGTCATGAATCTGGTCCAACCGCTGTTGAAACTTCGTTAATTGCCCAATCAAAAATTAAGCGCTGACAGGCAAGGAGAAGAAAGAAGCTCTTTGCCATGCAGGTGGCGGGGGCAGAGACCCAGGGAGCCACTCAATTTGGTCGGCTCTGTTATTTTACGGATGTTATGTTCCATCCCCGAGCGTGAAATCCACATTTTCGCATCCCAAGGCCCCAAGGTCTCTCAAATTGGAGTCTTTGAAGCGCCTCCGTCAATTCACCCTGCCAAATGGAAACTTCTTGGGAGACTGGTAAGTGTGGTTCGTTTCCCAAGTGATACATGAGAGAGCCCCAGGAAATGGAAATAATTACTGTAGGGACTACTTGATCCGTTTCCTGAGCACAGACGTCTCTTGACGTATTTTCACAGCAAATAGGCCTGATAGGTACAGTATGTGCTTGTCTAAAAAAGTTTTAAACCAATAGAATTTGGACACATTTGGGTCATTATGGGTCCATATATACCCATTTGAGTTTGTTTGAAACTAGGTAACTCGGAAATTCCAATTTGTTTATAAATGGCAAATATGATATTATGATATCATATCCATAAATACATATCATACCCATTTCTGCTTTAATATCACATATATACCCATTTTCCCCATTAAAAATGGCACTTAGGGGCCTCCCAGCTCTGCTTCACCCAATCCGGAGGCTTCTCATCAAGACGATGAGCCCGAGGCAGATGATGAGCATGGCGATGACGAGGCGGGCTGCGACTAAAAGTCGGTCTCAGGTTTGGAGCCACAGACAATAAAAGATGCTGAAAAAAGCAGCTGATTTTCCCATTTCAGATGAACTGAGGCTTGCATAGGCCTGTTGAATTTGCATGTTGAATTCTTTGAATTGGTTTTTGAGTCTTTGAGAGAATTGTAGCCCAAAGAGCCAAAGAGTTGATGGGAAAATCATCGACTGTTCAGCCCCAGGAGTCAGATGATGAAGATATGCCTCCGCTCGTGCCCTGACATTTGAGCCGGGCAGTTTTTGCCTCCAAGCACTCTCCATTAGACCCCGTTAATTTTTGGTCAAGTCGTTTAGCTCCAGAGCTGAAGGAACAATTTTTGCAGGGTTTACCCCTTTGGAGGTAAAGACCATCCTTTTTACCGTCAACAAAAATCGATTCAACCTATAGCCAATGAGTCTGGGCATTGGGCCTCCCGTGCCTCCTTTTCATGACTGTCCATCTAAAGAAAACTCCAGGGGTCAACAAAGAGAAGGTCTCAAGACTTGGAGCTCCCATCCAATGGGACAAATGTTTCAAAACATGAGTTTTTCCATAGAAATGGCACAGAAATGGCCTTCTTCAAGGCTATCTGAAGCATCCCGTTGTAGACATGCAGAGTCTTTAGGGTCGTGGCACGACGCTCTCAGATTCCTGCGGATGGCTGGGAAAGCCATTTGGGCGCTGCTGATGAGGCATGGAGACATCTGATGTGGCAGCTGTGAAAACTTATGGAGAGAACCGGAAAATCATGGAAAATCATCGATCTAGACAATTCATATCAATTCATATCAATTCATGCTCATGACTCATAAACACTCATAGACACTCTTTTTGAACTCTTCCCCGTGAAGCACCATACATCCATATCTACTTGTATGTTGACGGTAGCACCAGACATCCCAGACATCCAATCGCTGTCGTGCTGTTGTGAGGCAGGCGTGCCACAAAAGGCGGTATGTCAACTGAGTGGCCTGTGACCTCAGTGAACCAGGGCAGGATGAAATGGCGCTCGAATATGGATGTCATAGTTATATACATATTATATACATATAAACATATTATATATATATATATATAATCAGTGTATACATACACATATACATATAGAAATGTATGTATATATGTGTATATCATAATCATTACTGTAATTACATGTTACCTGCATCTTTATCAATGGTACTGACACCAAAGAAAGGCCGACCAAACCGTGCTCTTTGTCATTTTTTGGGAGTAGCGAGGCGCGTTGATGCACGACCCCGTCAGCACGCCTGATGGATACCTCTTCGAAAGGGCTGCCATTGAGGCGGGCCCCTTGGTCCCACAGAATTAACCATCCCCAACAGGGGTTTACTAAAACTATAGCTAATCATCCCATTAATCATCCCATTAAACATGGTTTACCATCCCATGATGGTCCCATTATGGTCATATTTTATGGTTTACTATTGGGTATAGCTTTAGCAATGGGATGATTTTTTCCGCATAGCCACTATTTAGAGGGATGTTGGCAAGGGGATGGTTTCTTGTTGGGTTGGCTAAAAACCACATTCATGATATTGATATGAACATAAGGTATTGTTGTTCTACGTTGTTACTCTTGTTAATGTCATAAAAAAAAACAGCACATATGAAAATCAACCGGTTGATCACTGTACATGGGGACATCAACCCCGCCCAAGGTACTGTAACCGACTGTAGGCGTAGCAAGATCCATTCGTAGATGATTTTCTTAGGTATCGCGCCGCCATGGCTTGAAAAAAACTTAGCTAGTCGCACTATGGAAATCATCAAGCAGATGTACATGTGCATATTATATTATATTATATTACTGTATATGATATTATATTATATTATCGAAGGAAGTTTGGAAGTCAAACTTCTGACAATATGGAGAGATGAAAAAGCAGTCAGCAGGGAGAAGAGTCAGAAGAGAAAAGATCAGAAGAAGGAAGATGCAGGTGCGCGAAAAGGTAGGAAAGTCGCGAAACACTGTGTTTTTTCGTGGTTTTGTGGCTCCGGAGGGTTGAAAAGTAGGCTCGCTAAAGCGGCGGGTGCGGAGACATCTGGGGAGATGAGAGATGAAAAGTTGCACGCCGTTGTGGCGCGAAGCACATTTGGAAGTAAACTGTGTTAAAAACTGAGGGGTTCGGACCACTTTTGGAAGTTGAGATGTCGAAAAAGTGCACGCCGTTGTGGCGCGAAGCACATTTCGAAGTCAAAATGTACAAAGCACACCATTCTCGGACCACTTTTGGAAGTTGCGATGTCGAAAAAGTGCACGCCGTTGTGGCGCGAAGCACATTTCGAAGTCAACATGTACAAAGCACACCATTCTCGGACCGCTTTTGGAAGTTGCGATGTCGAAAAAGTGCACGCCGTTGTGGCGCGAAGCACATTTCGAAGTCAAAATGTACAAAACACACCAGGTTCGGACACTTTTGGAAGTTGCGATGTCGAAAAAGTGCATGCCGTTGTGGCGCGAAGCACATTTCGAAGTCAACATGTACAAAACACCACATGTTCGCGCCACTTTTGGAGGTTCAGATGTCGAAAAAGTGCACGCCGTTGTGCCGGGAAGCACATTTCGAAGTCAAAATGTACAAAGCATCACATGTTCGCGCCACTTTTGGAGGTTCAGATGTCGCTTCGCTTGACTACACTACACTACATTACACTACACTACACTCCACTACACTACGCTCCACTACACTACACTACATTACACAACACTACAACTACAACTACACAACTACACTCCACGACACTCCACTACACTAAATTACACTACACTACACTACATTACACTACACTACACTCCACTACACTACACTACATTACACTACACTGCATTACCTTCCACTACACTTCACTACATTACACTACACTACATTACACTACACTACAACTACAACTACGACTGCACAACTACACTCCACTACACGAAATTACACTACACTACACTACATTACACTACACTACACTACACTACATTCCACTACACTCCACTACACTACACTACATTACCCTACACTACAATACACTGAATGACACTGCACCACAGATAGACAGGTAGACAGATAGACAGACAGACAGACAGACAGACAGACAGACAGAGAGATAGATAGATAGATAGATAGATAGACAGGTAGACAGGTAGACAGATAGACAGATAGACAGATGAAAGAGAGAGAGAGAGATAGATAGATAGATAGATAGGTAGATAGGTAGATAGGTAGATAGGTAGATAGGTAGATAGGTAGATAGGTAGATAGGTAGATAGGTAGATAGGTAGAGAGGTAGAGAGGTAGATAGCTAGATAGGTGGATAGGTGGATAGGTGGATAGGTAATTAGATGAAAGAGAGAAAGAGAGAGATAGATAGATCGATAGATAGATAGATACATAGAAGATAGGCTGGTAGGTAAGTAGATAGTCAGAGAAAGAGAGAGCCCGAGAGGAGACCTCAAGCACCTTTCGGTCCATCAGTGGATTCGCTTTGCCATCCCTGATTCACAACAACCAACCTCTCCTATAGGTTTCCTATTTTTGAAACTTCCGCCACCGCCTTGTGCGGTACTACTGGTATTGTATTGTATTATATAATATAATATTGTATTGTATTATATTATATTATATTATATTATTTCATATCATATCATATCTACAACACACATGTTCATTTTTTAAAAGCAACCATGTTATTAAATCACTCATTGGTCAGTTTTTCCATCCTATTCTCATCCTAAAGTTCTTGGGGTCCCAGCCGGGCTGCAGGACTGGATGAGCCAACACGGCTCCAATCCATTGACCGGCGCGCCCTTGGTGCTTGGTCTGAAAAAATCTGGGAAGACATACTTTTTTTTTTCAGGGCGAGAATTTGCCATAATTTTCCCAGAAAAATGGTGATCTTGGGGTAATTATATAGCAATAATTTTCCATGATTTTCCCATGTAAACTGAGATTTTGGGGTTTTCACTGTCATTTTCAAGGTTTTGTTTTTCCAGAAAAAAAAGTGATTTTGGGGTATAACATTCTATATAAGTGTCATTCTTACAGGACAAAGCTAGGATGGGAATGATGGGAATGATGGGACCCAGAAATGACCAAACAAAACCATCAAGACATTCCACCATCAGAGCTTGTGTAGGGGTGGACCATGGCAGATCCCCGGTGAACAAGGGCGAGTCCAAGTGGCTTCTCCGATTTATACTAATACCCAGTATACCAGTCCCGGTATATCCCCATTGTACCTGATCTTCCCACGATCTTTCCAGTTATATGGTTGGAAGATATGAGGTATCAGAGGTATCAGCTATATTCCAGTTATCAACAATCAATTTGGTTGACCCCAATCTGTCGCTGAATCCCAGGCCATGGATGATGTCATGGACAGACAGGACATCGCAAACTACATCCAGGCACGCCCACCGGCCCGACGATGACTGGATGACGGTATCCTGATGGGGCTCCATGACTTAAAGACTTAAAGGCATGATGTATTCTGTGAGTGCAATTGGTACATGCTGCAACCAATGATTTTATGATTTTGAAGTGACTTGGAAGTTACATTCCCACACTTGATATAACCATGGTCGCCTCAAGATTTGGATTCTCCAAGTCCCATGCCCCAATGTTGATGTCCAGTGTGCCTTTCAATGGTTTGCTGATATTTTGAATATACAGAACACTTTGCCAGTGTGGCTACATCTGGATTCGGTTTGAATCCCATGATGATGATCAGAAGCCAGCAATCATGAGTCCAGTTGGATCCTGTTGGGCAAAAAAAGGGATTTCTATCGTGGCTCATTGAGCTTTTTATTCCCAAACTAGACTGATGGTTTACAATGGACCCAGAAGGGACCCATCAAAACTGTGATTCCATACGCGTCTCGTAAAATACTACCCTCTGGTTATTTAACATAGCCATGGAAAATGGCCCATTTATAGATGGTCTACGGTTTACCTATTAAAAATGGTGATTTTCCATGGCTACGTTAGTTTACCAGGCCGGGTATATCCAATGATCATAGATTTTTTTGGGTCAAACTTTGAGACCACCAGTTCCAGGATAGACAGCACTTAAAAAAAACTGCAAGGGCAGTAGCCGGGGCAATCAATGAGCTGGGTTTATGGCCTGTTTGACGAGGTCAGCCTGAATTTTTTTGGCTCCCATGATCCACAGTAAAAATCCATCGATTCGGAAACCTCCAAACAGGCACTACCAAGAAAGAACATCCCCTGTAGATTGTCGAGTTGTTGAACATGACATTTTTCAGCCATCTTTGACTACAAGAGTGGTTAATAATTCAGTTTGTTGGTGCTTAAAGTGATGATTAGATCCGCAATTTTTGCTGGTTCAATCTCCAGTTTTCATGGTCGACTCCCCATTTATGGTGGTAAGACATCCATTCTGGATCGTTTAGGTTGATAAAGTCCTGACTGATTCTTCGTTGCATCTCCATTTTGACGCTTTCACTCCCCTTGGTGTGTTGATCAAGTCACAAAAGCCGCCATGGCTTGCCATTTGAGCCTGGGTCAAAGCCTGATTTTCACACTGGCCGCAGCTCGGTTCAATGGATGTTCATCCCCTGAAAAACGGTACTAATATGGACCCATACAGGAAGTGCCCCTCCACTCCAAGTTGGTTTATAACCCCATCTATGGAGATATCCACCTTTTTCATCCAATCCTTAGCATAGCGAAACAAACCAACAGAAAACTGAAAACCTTTTCCGTATTGCTTGAATGTTTTTTTTCTTTGGTTGCAAAGTTAGATACTCAGATGGAACTAACACAGATGCGGAAAGACCCACCATTTGTAGATCATTTCCCAAAGGACATCATGGGTTTTCCACATCTTTTTGTTAGTTAGCCAAGGGTATTATCCCATTCACATCCCAGTGAATCACAATTTTTAATGGTTAAATCACCATTTTCCATGATATCCACTGGGGTTCCCATTGGGCCGCCCTTCCTGTCTGATGCAGGGCTTCCAGATGCAGATGCTGTCGGTGTCGCAGGTGGCGCCTGAGGCGGTCGACGGCCCAAAGGAGGAGCTCTCTGAGAGACTCTCCCAGGGTCAACAGGGCATATCTACCTATCATTACCTATCATTACCTATCATTACCTATCTACCAATCTACCTATCCATCCATCTATCCATCTATCTACCTACCTACCTACATACCTACATACCTACATACCTACATACCTACCTACCTACCTATCTACCTATCTATCGATCTATCGATCTATCGATCTATCGATCTATCGATCTATCGATCTATCTGTCTGTCTGTCTATCTATCTATCTATCGATCTATCCATCTATCCATCTATCCATCTATCTATCTATCTATCCATCTATCTACCTACCTACCTACATACCCACATACCCACATACCTACCTACCTACCTATCTACCTATCTACCTATCTACCTATCTACCTATCTACCTATCTACCTATCTATCTATCTATCTATCTATGTATCTATCTATCTATCTATCTATCTATCTATCTATCTATCTATCTATCTATCTATCTATCTATCTCATCTATCTATCTATCTATCTATCTATCTATCTATCTATCTATCTATCTATCTATCTATCTATCTATCTATCTATCTATCTATCTATCTATCTATCTATCTATCTATCTATCCACCAATCTACCAATCTATCCATCTACCTTCCTATCTACCTATCTACCTATCTACTTATCTACCTATTTACCTAACCTACCTACCTACCTACCTACCTACCTACATACCTACATACCTACATACCTACATAGCTACACATACCTACATACCTACATACCTACATACCTACATACCTACATACCTACATACCTACATACCTACATACCTACATACCTAAATACCTAAATACCTACATACCTACATACCTAGCTATTTATCTATCTATCTATCTATCTATCTACCTATCTACCTATCTACATATCTACCTATCTACCTATCTACCCATCTATCCATCTATCCACCTATCTACCTATCTACCTATCTACTTATCTACCTATATACCTATCTATCCATTTATCCATCCACCTATCTACCTATCTACCTATCTATCCACCTATTCATCTATCCATCCATCCACCTATCTACTTATCTACCTACCTACCTACCTATCTATCTATCTATCTACCTATCTACCTACCTACCTACCTATCTTATCTACCTACCTACCTACCAACCTACATACCTACCTACCAACCTACATACCTACATACCAACATACCTACTTACCTACATACCTAGCTATCTATTTATCTACCTATCTATCTATTTATCTACCTACCAATCTACCTATCTACCTATCTACCTATATACCTATGTATCCATCTATCTATCTACCTACCTATCCATCTATTCGTCTATCCATCTAATTACCTATCTATTTATCTACCTACCTACCTATCTACCTATCTATCTACCTACCTATCTATCTACCTATAAAAATTATCTACCTATCAAACTACCTACCTACGTAGATAGCCAGCCATCTATCTATGTCTATCTATCTCTATCTATCTCTACCTATCTCTAACTATCTCTATCTATCTCGATCTATCTCTATCTATCTCTATCTATCTCTATCTATCTCTATCTATCTTAATCTATCTGGATCTATCTCTATCTATCTCCAACTATCTCTATCTATCTCTATCTATTTCTATCTATCTCTAACTATCTGTATCTACCTCTATCTATCTCTATCTATCTCTATCTATCTCTATCTATCTCTATCTATCTCTATCTGTCTCTATCTGTCTCTATCTGTCTCTATCTGTCTCTATCTGTCTCTATCTGTCTCTATTTGTCTCTATCTGTCTCTATCTGTCTCTATCTGTCTCTATCTGTCTCTATTTGTCTCTTTCTATCTCTAACTATCTCTATCTATCTCAATCTATTTCAATCTATCTCTGTCTATCTCGATCTATCTCTATCTATCTCTATCTATCTCTATCTCTATCAATCTCTATCTGTCTCTATCTATCTCTATCTGTCTCTATCTGTCTCTATCTATCTGTATCTATCTCTATCTCTCTCTATCTCTCTCTATCTATCTTTATCTGTCTCTATCTCTATCTATCTCTATCCATCTCTATCCATCTCTATCTATCTCTATCTATCTCTATTTATCTCTATCTATCTCTATCGATCTCTATCTATCTCTATCCATCTCTATCTATCTCTATCTATCTCTATCTATCTCTATCTATCTCTATCTGTCTCTATCTATCTCTAACTATCTCTATCTATCTCTAACTATCTCTATCTATCTCTATCTATCTCTATCTATCTCTATCTATCTCTATCTATCTCTATCGATCTCTATCTATCTCTATCGATCTCTATCTATCTCTATCCATCTCTATCCATCTCTATCGATCTCTATCTATCTCTATCTATCTCTATCTATCTCTATCTAACTCTATCTATCTCTATCTATCTCTATCTATCTCTACCTATCTCTATATTATCTCTACCTATCTCTATATTATCTCTATCTATCTCTATCTATCTCTATCTATCTCTATCTATCTCTATCTCTATCTATCTGTATCTGTCTCTATCTATCTCTATCTATCTCTATCTATCTCTATCTATCTCTATCTATCTATCTCTATCTATCTCTATCTATCTCCATCTATCTCTATCACTCTCTATCTCTCTCTGATCTCTCTCTCTATCTATCTGTATCTGTCTCTATCTATCTCTATCTCTATCTCTCTCTCTATCTCTCTCTATCTCTCTCTATCTATCTCTATCTCTCCTTCTCTCTATCTCTCTCTCTCTCTATCTCTCTCTCTATATCTCTCTCTATCTCTCTCTCTCTCTATCTCTATCTCTATCTCTATCTCTATCTCTCTATCTATCTATCTATCTATCTATCTATATTTCTATCTATCTATCTATCTATCTATGTATCTATCTATCTATCTATCTATCTATCTATCTGTATCATTGTCAACATGAATATTACAAAACATGATTAGCATGGTGTAGCCACCTTTTTTATCCAACGTCATGTCGAATTCGTATAATTTCATCTAGATACTACCGTACGTACCATTCATTAGATTGCTTCAAGGGAACATTTACAGGATTTACTTTGAAATATTTCCCGGGAATATTCCCATGGCCATCATGGTGTCCGTTTTTGAAATCTGCATGCAGCAATAATATTTATATTCTTCTTATCATTTTTTATTAGTACAAAAATGTACCAGTAGTACCGCACAAGGCGGTGGCGGAAGTTTCAGAAATAGGAAACCTATAGGAGAGGTTGGTTGTTGCGAATCACGGATGGCAGAGCGAATCCACTGATGGACCGAAGGGGGTTGGAGTTGTGATTTTTGGAGTGGTTGCAATCGTTGCAGTGGTCACCTCACTCGCAACTCCTGGATGTAGTGTGGTGTAGCGCAGTAGTTGTAGTTGCAGTTGTAGTTGTAGTTGTAGTTGCAGTGTTGTAGTTGTAGTGGTGTTGCTGTTGTTGGAGTTGTAATGTAGATGTAGTAGTAGTAGTAGTAGTAGTGGTAGTAGTAGTAGTAGTAGTAGCAGCAGGGTGGTCCCGGTTCGTTTTTGGCGATTTCGATTTGATTTTTTATATAAGGAATTGATTTCGAGAGAATTGGTTTTCGATTCCATTTATCGCGATTCCGATACCGATTCGATTCGTAGCGTGTCGAGTCCTATAGGGAGTAGTTCGTTAGTAAGGGATTCTTGATTAATTTCAATTCGATAGCTTGCGATTCTATTTTTGATTTGGATTCTTTTTTGAATTTCGATTCGATAGCTTGCGGTTCTAGTTGTGTTCCGATTCGATAGCTTGCGGTTCTTTTTTATGATTTTTCGGCGTAATTATATATATATATATATTTATTTATTTATTTATATACAGATACATACAAATATATACATAAGGAGACATACATACATTAAATAAATAAATATATATATATATATTCCAGACGACTCCTTGTGACCTTGTTTGTGTTTTCTGCTAAGTGGCCGCCTGTGGAAAGAGGTCAGTTAAGGAAAACGTAGAAAGAGGTCAGAAAAGGAAACGAGCCAAAAAATGACTTACCAGTGACACGCAAATGACACGCAGGTGACACGCAGACAGCCAATCCTTAAGTGACCTTTTCAAGGCTTAAGTGACCTTCTCAGCGTCCTAAGTGACCTCATTTCATCCCACCTGGAAACACTAGTGACACGCAAGTGACACGCAGCAAAGAGGTCACTTAAGGATTCTTGAAAAGAGGTCACTTATGCATGATTGATCTTGTAAGTGACCGTTTGGCACTTTGGGTTTAAGTGGCTTCCATTAGAGGGCAGAAGTAACTGCCTGGTTCATAGATATTAATTTATATATTATATGTATATGAATATATATATATATATATATATCAATATATATGAATATATATTCATATATATGAATATATATCTATATTTTTATTTATGAATATATATATATATATTAATATATATATATTAATATATATATATATATTCAAATATATTTAAATATAAATATATATATATATTCATATATCCATATACATGCTTACACTTCTGAAACAAAAGCTGCTTCTCGCAGCTGTTTCGGTCGGCGGGCCGCGGGGATCCCTAGGAACATTGGATGTCTGGCAGGCGTGGGAACATTTGCGCGCTTTCAAACACGTGTGGAGCTCCTTTCCTATGATTCACATAATTTTTTTTGTATGACCCTCGGATATCCAGGGCAAAGTTCACAGTTTCAGACCCCCAGAAGGGTCAGATTTGGTATGTAGGCATGTAGGTACGTAGGTACGTAGGTATGTATGTATGCATGTATGGATCTATATGTTTGTGTTTATGGATGTATCTATGTAAGGCTTGGTACGTAGGCATGTGTAATGCGGTTGACGTGGAGCCGTAATTCCACAAATTTAATTACGATGCCAATATTACCGTATTCACATCCCGTGTGTGCCCGAATACAATGGACGGCTATATGTAAGTAAGTTTATGTCAAACAAACAGTCTTCTGTATGCTTGGCTCTCCCCTTCCCACTGGACACAATTGAAGCCTCAGATGAGGTTTCAGACCAGTTTCAGACCAGTTTCAGACCAGTTTCAGACCCCCAGAAGGGACATGTTTGGAATGCAGGTATGTAGGTTAGTTTTTTTTCGGTATACAGGTGTTGTATGTATACAGGAGCCGTTGCCAGAAACATTACATACATACATATCATATATCCCTATTTTAGATTCTCATTTATAAATGTGGAGAATAAGTGTGAGAGATGATCCCACGTATAACATAGATAGAAGTTAGATACACATTTGTAAAGTGGTGCATTGTGTTAAGTAAGTCTATTTGTTTGCAACACGATTGGGTGAAAGGCTTTTTTTGAAAACAGACCTGGAAAAAGGAAATTGTCCCTTGGATTTCCAGGGCAGCTTGGACCTCATCCATGAGAGTTCTGAGAGGGGTATATACAATTAGGGAGTTGGGAGAGAGAGAGAGATATATATATATATTTCTATGAGAGGGGTACGTACATACCTGTATGAGAGGAGTATATGTATTGGGTTTTAAAGAGTAGTTTGCTGCGTCGGGAGAATTGCTATTGAAGGTGGCCTGTCCTCCCTTGGATATCCGGGGTTGTATAAAGATATACTTATCAGTTGCCAGGATGGGGCCTTTGCAACACGGGACATGTCTCGACAATTGCAGGATTTTATAGGCACAAGCCATACGATGATCCACACATCCGCGCTTTGTATCCGTCCCCAATGGGCTGCATTGATTTGGGACCACAAGAAGCGGCTGGAGATCAGATCCTATTCGATCAAAATCGAAAGCTGCGTCTGGGTTCCAGTCATTGAGAGTGGCGCCAGCTTGGTTACTGGCCTTGTGCAGTTCCTTGGTATTGTGGAAAATAGGGAAGGTTGGTTAGCGCTTTGCATTGTTCTTATTGTGTTCCTACCTTAAGAATCGCTCAGTGTGGATACAGTCCTTGGCTAATGAAATCCTACTTGAGAGCGTTTCTGATCCTGCTTCTCAGGTTTTCATCTTGCAGCTTCCTCAAGTATGATGATCTCAAGGCCTGCATTGACGAGCACTGTGTGCCACAGGACAGAAAGTGGTTTCAGAGTGGTTTCAAAGGGAGTTTAAAACTGGGTTCGAATTGGATTATTTTTTGGGTCAATTAATTTTTGAATAAATGGGCAATCCCTTCTATACAGGTGTTGATGTGGGAAATTTTCCTAGGAAGATTCGAAGCGTCATTGGCGAAACACATGGCATCAAGCAAAGTAGGGAAGAATCGAACAGTACCTCCGGAAAAAATAGCAAAGCGGTATCCGAATCAGCGTTCAAGAGACAGATGAGGCGGCCAGAAACATGGGGTAGACTTGCGTAGGAATATAGCCCTCGGAATGCCAGGGAGATACATAATATAATAATATATATATATATATATATGAGTCTCTGTATATGTTACACACTTATATGTAGTATGTATCCCTTGGAATGCCAGGGATATATATATATATATATGTGTGTGTGTATGTAATATACTCATATGTAGTATGTATTCCCTGGAATGCCAGGGAGATATATAATAGTTGTGTGCATATATATATACACACATTTATTTCTATATGTCTGTGTATATCTGTGTGTATGTGTATATGTTATATTTATATGTAGTTGACATCCCTTGGAATGCCAGGGAGATACATCATATACATATATATACCTATATCTCTGTGTGTATGTTTTAAAGCTACATACATGTACTATACTTATTTTGCATCTAGCCCTCGGAATGTCAGGGAGATATATACTAATATATATATATTTATGTGTGTATGTTATTCATACATAGATATTAGTAGACATGTACTATGTAGCCCTCGGAATGCCAGGGTGATATGTAATATGTATGTAGATCTGTGTGTATACTTGGATATATATATATATATATTGGAAATCCATGGGTTTGTCCGTCATGGATTTGTGCTCTCCCAGGAGACGTTGTGGAAGATGGCATCAGCGGGGTGTTACGCATGGAAGATCAGGGCAGCTGTCCGCATTCCTGCTGTTCCCGTCGCCCGCAAGAATGGCTCAGTATCTTGCACGGACGTGGAACTGTTTTCAATGGTTTCCATTTTTTAACCACTCACTGTTAGGGGTTTCCAGATGTAGTGGAAAGGTGCTGCATGTTGCCGGACAATGACAAACAAGTCCAGGTGAATTGGGTGCGTCTCCGTGATAAGGATCACAAGGTGGTCCTCAGAAGCGAATGGTGGGGAAGCAGCCGCAGCCTGAGGTGGCGGAGAGACACCATGTGGAGCAGCCGCAGTGTGAGATGGTGGAGAGACAACATCTCCCCGGTAACGAGATTGCCGAAAGCTCAGAGGATGAGGTGAAGGCAGTGAAGAGGGGGCCCTATCGGTGGAGTTCCTGGTCACCATCGAAAGTTCGATTCTACTTCACGCGCAATTCCGGAGGCACCCGAGAGCCCTGTCAGGCATGCCTCGGATGCGGTGTGAGCAGATTGCTCCCGGGTCGTTGGTATATGTCTCAGAAGTCTGGTAGGCCTGCTGGAAGCTATTGTAAGGCTTGTAAGATCAAGCGACAGATGGAGAAACAACGCCCAGTCGATGTGGATTAGTTTCAATGGCAATGCCTTTTCTTTTACAACCATCTGTGCGGGAAGTTGCTCAACTGTAATAAGTAACCCAATTCTTTTGCTTTGGAGGAAACTTGTCCGCGTCAGCAGTGAAGGCTTCCATCAGTCTCATCTTGCCTCTTAGGGGAACCGGAAGCAAAGTCTTCCATGTAGGGGGTTTATTGAACATTGCCACCTGCAAGGTTGAGGTGGAGGGGCAAACCCGGATGCGAATGGATGCGGGAAAGAGGAAAGACGTGGCTGATTGGGACCTAGCTTTGGGCTGTCCCATGACGCAGCCGGCAAATGAAAGGTGGATTTCATCAATGATTCAGCACTTTGATTCCCCTGCCGGGGCTCCACCAGACTCTTGCGACAGTGAATTCTTATCAGTTCACCTAGGTAGATCAAGAAAGAAGCTCCTCCAAACACAAATAAGTTATCGTACGAAGGCCCTCTTTTGGCATGTCCAAGGTTTGACCCTTGGATTTCCAGGGATGCTCATGCATGTCCTTGTATGTGCTTGCCATACTTTATTATATGTCCAAGTTAGTTTTGGCTTATTCCATCTGAAAGCCACTACTACCTCGCATGCTTTTGTTCTATCACCCACTTCATCATCTTTTATCATTCTATGCGATCATATTTCCGTAGTTGGTTGGGTACTTATTCACTTACCTCACGGGTCGATTAGGTTCACATGCAAAAGTACTTAGCTCTCCTCAGCAGCGGCAGGTGCTCTGATGGCTTTGATAGCAGTGGTCGGCAGCAGGTGTGGGGAGTCAGGGATGACGCTGCTAACCGCAATGCGTTGGGGGCTGTAATACCACTATCTTCAGGACTTATCAATTGGGACAATCATAAGCTGGGATGCGAGTATTGATCAGGAGATGATGTACTTGAAAATCCGTGAGCATCTATACACCTATACACCCTTGGATTTCCAGGGTGGATTTAGGACGAAGCAAAATCAAGATAGAAAGGGAGAGAAATAGAGAGAGAGAGAGAGTGAGAGGAAGGGTAAGCTACCCATGCTCTATATTAGTGATTTCGGCACCTAATGAAATGAGTTCGAAGGTAACTTAAATTTAACTCAAATGGACCTCAAATGCACCTCACAGTGATTTGGTTGCAAAGAGGTGTTTAAAACAGCTTTGTTTAGGCATCACTGTTTACAAAGGTTTTCAAGTGGTTTCAAAGCAGTTTCAAACACCTGAAGGGGTGCCCTATCAATCCTGGTTTCAATCTAGCAAGATTTCAAAAAAACATATTTCAAAAAAAACATATTCAGACTTGTTTGGAATCAGTTTCAAATCGAGCAGATTGAGCAGAGGCCAATTGAGTAGATTAAAACACCAGCGGCTGACGTATGTAGGTATGTTTGTGATTATGTATGAATCTATCGAATTACGGCTGCACTTTTGCAGGTACGTAGGTGTGTATGTATGTATCCAGTTTCTGGTAATGTATATATCTATGCAGTGTTGCTATGTAGCCGTTTTTAATTCGGTCAAATCGGAATCGTAATTCGGCATATCCAATTACGATCCCAATACTACCGAATTCCGGCTGCACTTTTGTAAGTGCGTAGGTGTGTATGTATGTATCCATGTTTCTGGTAATGTATATATCTATGCAGGGTTTCTATGTGGCCGTTTTTAATTCCCTTCAATTGGAATCGTAATTTCGGTAGATCCAATTAGGATTCTCACGCTGCTGAATTACTGCTGGAATGGAATCAAATCAAATGACGTGACACTTTGTGCTGTTCTTACTCAAACCTGCATCGACCTTGTTGAATTCGAAAGCAATCCAAGAAACTCATTGAAACCGCTTTGAAACCACTTGGAAACCCTAGGAAGCTATAGCTCCTAAGCGGCTGCTGGCTGCACATACGTATATATGTAGGTGCTTATATTTGTATTTATGTTTGTAGCTATATTTGTAGCTATGCAGGGTTGCTATGTAGCCGTTTTGAGTTCGGCCAAATCGGAATCGTAATTCGGCATATCCAATTACGATTCCAATACTGTCGAACTACGGCTGCACTTATAGGCATTGTTTTACTATGCTTCCTGGCAAGCATGGGCGGGGATAGTATGATGCGACCGGAGTGCCTGCTCGCACCCATCCGCAGTTGGGCTTGAGAGAGATGTTAAATCATATTGCGCATTGCGCAAATAGTAATGTCGAGAAAGAGACAGCAACTAGTCGAAAAAGACACATCATTACATTTCAAACTGCTTGCCGTAGAGTGTCGCAGAAACATAATGAGCTGGTATATATCTGTTCTTAGTCTTCGCGCGGGGGCTGGCCACATGGCAAAGACCAAGGGCAGTGTCATGGCCAACAAGGCCAAGGCGGATGGGCCGAAGAAGATCAAGAAGTCAAAGGTGACCAAGGCAAAGAAAACCGGCGCCAAGCCCAAGGATGACACCATCGACGATGATGCGGCAAAAAAACCAGCCGAGATGGAGGTGACCGAGGAGCGTCGGGAGAGCAGTCCCTCGCGAACTATGAAGACCGAGGAAGTGAAGGAAGTGGCTGGGGAAGGCATCCTTGTCGACGAGGAGATGTTCATGCACCTGCTGGCCCGAGTGAAGAAGTTAGAGGAGCAGGTCGGTCAATCCCAAGAAGGTTGGGTGCTGCCTGAATCCGTCCGGCACCAAAGAGGGGGCGAGCCGCTGCAGTCAATGCGGAAAGGCAAAGACCAGCAGTGGTACTTGAACCAACAAGGCCGCGCATACGGCGCGAAATGCAAGCAGTGCCGCAAGGCAGCCGCAAGGCTGCCATGAGCAATCGGAAGCGTGCTGCAGCCCAAGAAGCCAGCAATGCTGCGGCACCACCAGCCTCGGATGTGGAGTGAAAAAGATGTGTTTCAAACTATTTTCGTTTGGCCCTGCATATTTCTGCTTCACCGATTTTTTTTTAAACGCCAACTCTGATAGATACACAGTTTATAGATGATCTACAGACCAGCGCCTTGATTCAATGTTTAATACCTACATATTCATATATCATATAATATATGTTTATATATATATATTCATATATAGGTAAAAAATATATATTCATATATAGGTATATATATATATATACATACATATATAGGTAAAATATATATTCATATATAGGTAAATATATATATATACATATACATATATATATATACATATATATATATATACATATATTTGAAATATTCCTAATCATTCGATGGATTGTGGACTTCCACTGGTGCAGTCTTAGCTTATTATATACAAATATATCTCCCTGTTTCCATTTACCACCCATGGTAACTTTGGGGTCAAGGCAGCGACCAGTAAAGCAGCCTGGCAGGTACCTGGATCGCCTCATTCCTTCTGACGCTCCACCTACACTTGGTGCACAGTGCAGGTGCGCTCGCTAGCTCGTGTGTGGGTGAGGATGTATACCAAAGATACTTAGCGGATAATAGCAATTGCTTCCGTATGTATTTGCTATTGCCCCCCAGATATATAGATGACATGGGTTGCAAGTTTACCGATGGTTTCTCTTGCCCCTTGGCTCTCCAGGGCAGGTAACACATAGGTGGGCCATAATGGTGATACAATCGCCCGCTTGGGACTGACGGGGGTAAATCATAACTTGTTGCGGGCATCGGAGGCATCACGGGGATATATAGTTTCATCGTGTACATGAACACGGGCCACTGGTTTAATCGTTGTGTTTTTACCTCCGTCCATCGCGCCGCCAGGAAGCAAGGTTCAAGTTGTGGATTACAGAATGCAGGATGTACCCATCTGCTAAGTAACCCAAATATCAATTACATCTGTCGAAGTACAAAGTTCAATTATTAGATTTTGATCACAGATCACGTCTTCAGGCACTACCGAAAGTAAGACTCGCATGTAGGGACCGGGAGTGATGCCGCACGGTCCGAAAACGCAGAAGTGCAAGGAGCGCGATTTTGCGCGGAGGGCAGCCCGCTTGCAGCAGCGGAATGCCAGGCTGCAGCTTGGGCTGGAGCCTCGCGTCCCACTTCTGCTGCAGCCTGAGATGCTGCTGCCTCGTGACTTGGCAGGATGGCTCCGTTCGGCCTCTTTTGGAAAAAGTCGATCCCTTGTGCAGCCCAAGGGAAATGTATCGGAATACTGCCTATACTTACCGAATTGCCCATTGTTTTTTGAGGGTGGGCCCTTGGATATGTGAGTTCGGCAGATTGCTGGGTAGACCAATTTGGTTGAAAATACGAAATCTACCCGAAACCAATTGTCCCAGGCAAATTTCAATTCGAAACCAAGAGCAATCAAGTTGGAAGGGTTATATAAGTTTGAAACTGAGCCGTGCTTTTACGACAAGACAAGCCAGTTTGCCGCCGCCAGGATCCTCTGGTGAGCCCCACACCGTACGTGGAGCTGGAAGAGCCATTTCCGAAGAATGTGGCTCCCGCGAAGGCGATGATGGCGATCTGGGGCCAGGGGAGGTTCAGCAGGAGGTTATAAGGACCTTAGATAGCTAAGTTGGTCAACTCCAATAACCAGGGATTTTTGCACTTATAGCTTTGCAACCGTCATAATTTGAATCCCAGGACGGTCCGGTGACGGAGTCTTGGATCCACCGTGGCGCCCTGCTGCTGCGGCTGCTTCGGCTGCTGGTCCATTGTCCGCCGTCTGACCGTGCTGGACGCAAGTCAGCGGGGCACTTGCAAAATCGTGCCCCCGGACGCAGTTTCATTATTCAGCACGGACTAATTGTCAGTGTTGCTGGTGTTGATAGGCTCAACATTATACGATTGAGCAGGTACGATCAAAAGGCAAGTTGATATGGGGACTGTCTGTTGGAATTCCTATAATGGAACATTGCGACACAAATAAGTTTCTTCCAGTTATGCTTCAGTTGTATTTCCGGACGAAATTCGATAGTATTGGAAGGGTAACTACTATTGTCGAAGTACGGTTGTAATATATACCAAAGCTATAGAGATACAATGACGTACGTAGGATTGGTTGTATACATACATACATACCTACCTACGTACCTACCTAGCTACCTAGCTACATACCTACACACCAAACCTGTCCCTTCTAGGGGTCTGAAACTACTTTGAAACTAGTCTGAAACCTGTTAGAATCTTCAAATATGACTTGGTGGAGGAAAGATACATACAGAGATGGAATTTTTTGTTTGCCCTTGGAGTTCCAGGGCAAAAGCCAATCGTCCGTACCCTCATTGTTATGTAGTACAATAAGCCTTGTGGACATTGTTGTTCAAATTCCACCTTCTTGTTGTAGCAGGATAGTTTTCATGGTTATGGGCCGAATTTGCGGGATTTCCCAATAGATTGAATTCCTCATCGTTCATATTTTAGATTTGTCTTCACGTCCCTGGCCATGTAATTTAACCGTTACCATGTCTTGGCCACGCCAGGAGGAAGATCCAGGCTATAAAGTGGTCCGCTGATGTAGAGACAGAAAAGGGCCGTGATGGATACTGAGGGTGGCTGGTGCGTTTTTGATGAATATCGTCGATCAAACTCCGAATTCAATCATTCTGGATAAACTAGAAGAATATGAAGTCCCTCCAATTTTGGTTTCCCTTATTGAATTCATGCACCCAAATTCACAAATAGATCCAAGAAATTTATATAAAGATTTGATAAGAAAATAATATTTAATTTATTGAATCATATTTGACCATTTATCTACTACTTGGTCCCGGCGCTTGTATAAAACTGAGTTAGTATTTTATTAAAGCTTGCATACTAAGATGGTATGCAATAATTATCTCAAGCGCTTGCGTGGTTCAATACAATACAAACATACAAGAACTGTATATCATCTCGGGTATGCATGGCCTCGATTCGCGTTAATTCGGTTCCAGTTCAAAGATCGATTCGTGGCGATTCGGTTCAAACAAACTACCGATTCATATTTGATTAGATTCTTAATTCTTGCCGCGTCCGGGTTCCTTGGGGCCCCCGTCGACTCTATCCGGTTCGATTCCAAACGGTTCTGTTTTTTCCGGTTCCGGACCGGTTCGATTCCTTATGTGCAGCGGTTTAGGTTCCTAAACCGTTTTGGAACCATCCTGTAGTAGTAGTAGTAGTAGTAGTAGTAGTGTAGTAGCAGTAGTAGCAGTAGTAGCAGTAGTAGCAGTAGTAGCAGTAGTAGCAGTAGTAGCAGTAGTAGCAGTAGTAGCAGTAGTAGCAGTAGTAGTAGCAGTAGTAGCAGTAGTAGCAGTAGTAGCAGTAGTAGGAGTAGTAGCAGTAGTAGCAGTAGTAGCAGTAGTAGCAGTAGTAGCAGTAGTAGCAGTAGTAGCAGTAGTAGCAGTAGTAGCAGTAGTAGTAGTAGTAGTAGTGTAGTAGCAGTAGTAGTAGTAGTAGTAGCAGTAGCAGTAGCAGTAGCAGTAGCAGTAGCAGTAGCAGTAGCAGCAGCAGCAGCAGCAGTAGTAGTAGTGTGGTGTAGTGCAGATGCAGTTGTCTATCTATCTGTCTATCTAGGTATTTGTTATCTTATTAATTTGTCTTTCTGATTATCTCTCTGTCGATCTATCTATCTACCTATCTATCTATCTGCAAGTTTGAAAACGAAGCTATTCTGCGAGACTTCCTCAATCTTTGAACTTGACAACATCAAAAACGCAGCAATTCTGCGAGACTTCCTCAACTTTTGAACTTGACAGCGCCAAAAACGAAGCGATTCTGCGAGACTTCCTCAATTTTTGAACTTGACAACATCAAAAACAAAACAGTTCTGCGAGACTACCTCATGTTTCAAAGTTGGCAACATCAAAAATGAAGCAATTCTGCGAGACTTCCTTCAAAAATGGAAAGTTGAGTGCAGAGCTGACAGCCTCGTACCAATGCGTTTTGCGATTTTTCCACTTCACCTGTCTTTTTAACAGCTCTGATGAACATGTCTCTTGTACTGCGCCTGCCACGGAAAATGCATCTTTGCAGATCCTCTTCAAATGTCCCACATCGTTTTTGGACATGCTACAAACCTTCACGTTTTGCTCACTTTTGACAAGGTGCACAATCCCTTGCGCCTGCCACGCGAAACGACATCTGAACCTCCAAAAGTGGTCCAAATATGTGGTGTTTTGTACATTTTGATTTCGAAATGTGCTTCGCGCCACAACGGCATGCACTTTTTCGACATCTCAACTTCCAAAAGTGGTCCAAACATGTGATGTTTTGTACATTTTGACTTCGAAATGTGCTTCGCGCCACAACGGCGTGCACTTTTCGACATCTCAACTTCCAAAAGTGGTCCAAACCTGGTGTGTTTTGTACATTTTGACTTCGAAATGTGCCTCGCGCCACAACGGCATGCACTTTTTCGACATCTAAACTTCCAAAAGTGGTCCAAACCTGGTGTGTTTTGCACATTTTGACTTCGAAATGTGCTTCGCGCCACAACGGCGTGCACTTTTTCGACATTGCAACTTCTAAAAGTGTTCCGAACCTGGTGTGTTTTGTACATTTTGACTTCGAAATGTGCTTTGCGCCACAACGGCGTGCACTTTTCCGACATTGCAACTTCTAAAAGTGCTCCGAACCTGGTGTGTTTTGCACATTTTGACTTCGAAATGTGCTTCGCGCCACAACGGCGTGCACTTTTTCGACAGTGCAACTTCTAAAAGTGCTCCGAACCTGGTGTGTTTTGTACATTTTGACTTGGACATGTGCTTTGCGCCACAACGGCGTGCAATTTTTCATCTCTCATCTGGCCAGCTGGCTCCGCACCCGCCGCCTCTCCGGAGCCACAAATCATTGGAAAAACACAGTGTTTCGCGACTTTCCTACCTTTTCGCGCACCTGGATCTTCTTTCTTCTGATTCTTTCTCTTTCTTCTTCTCTTCTCTTCTCTTCTCTGACTCTTCCCACCTCTGCTTTTCATCTGTCCATATTGTCGGAAGTTTGACTTCTAAACTTCCTTCGGCTAAATATTATCTTCATTGGTGTCATTATTATCATCCATCAATCATTATTATCGTTTGTCATTACAAGTCATGATGGTGATGATGATGATGATATGATGATGATGATGGTGATGATGATGATGATGGTGATGATGATCATGATGATGATGATGATCATGATGATGATGATCATGATGATGATGATGATCATGATGATGATGATGATCATCATCATCATGATCATCATGATCATCATCATGATGATCAAGATGATATGGCTAGCACCATTCTTTCCTCTTGATCCAGGACCTCACCACCGCGGTGGAAGAGACCGTTCCATCAGTGCCTGCACCTCCACCGACCAAGCCGGTGCGGGGACAAAAATGGTGGGCAGGGTGAAGATGATGACTCATGATGAAACCAAAAGAACTATCATACCTACCTACGTACATACATACCTACGTACATACATACATACATGCATGCATGCATACATACATACATATAAACAAACAAACAGACAGACAGACAGACAAACAAACAAACAAACCAACAAACCAACAAACGAACGGACAAACAAATAAACAAACAAACAAACATACATACACACATACACATACACATACACATACACATACACATACACACACACATACACACACACATACACACACATACACGCACACATACACTTGTAAGACAGAATGTCTGTTCACGAGGCTCATATTGATTTGTGATTTTTTGCTCGTGAAAAGGCCGTTGTACCCAAACATGTTTTAAACAATGACAAATTGAGTACGGTCGCCGCTGTGAGTGAATCACACAATTCAGAAATCGAAATGGTCACATCGCAGGTACGTCTGACTGATCAGGTCAGATATCACCAGCACTCATCCTGTGTCTTCGTTGGTGCAAGACTGGATGGGCTGCTCGCACCCCCTGCCTTAAAACTGAAAAACTGAGCAATTCGTAAATCTCTTGGAAGCAGGGGTTGACCCCGCACATGCACACATACATACATACATACATACGTACGTACGTACATACATACAGACAGACAGACAGTCAGACAGACACGCATACATACATACATACATCCATGCATGCATGCATGCATGCATGCATGCATGCATGCATACATACATACATACATACGATAATATACACATATGGGATGAAGTGGAATTTCTAACGACAAACAAAATGTACCACTCTTTGAAACAAGGATGTGTTCGAACTTGAATAATCGCAATTGTTGGCGAAAAAAGATCTTCCAGATGCTCCAGCGACATCAGTGAACATACAATAGCCATCAGTAACCTGAGATCGAGCGGAATCAAGGCCACAATTGAAATGGCAACATGAGAGGGATCAAAAATTGGGAGACCCTCAGAGTTTCCTCTCAGACTCAGTTCGTTAACTTGCAAGTTGGGGTAGTTGCTAGCCTTTTCAATGGTTTTTGTGTGCCGCTGGACCCTTTGAAAGACTTAGATAGGCTTGTTGCTGGACACAAACATGACCATCTTCCATCTCCACAGTATATAGTATTGAATCATATTGAACTTTCGGAAACTACTGTTTTGAGTCCCTACATGTGGGTCTATTCCTGCCAAGAAATACTGAAACTCAGGAATATCTTACCCATGTTGTTACAACGAAACTTCATCTTAGAGATCATGATCATCCATGATCATCCACGATTACCCACAATCATCCCACGTCTTGAGGAAAGAAAACCTTCACAACTTCCCCGGCGTTTCACCTGGAGCGCCCGTGTGGTTTCACCGCTGCCATGTCCTTTTCCGACTCCGAACTCGTCGTCGCCGCGGCGCTGGATGCCGACGTCGCGCCACGGCCGCGCAGTGCGCCGTGCCGCGCGCTGCCCACATTGGACCTGGACGCGATGACGGCGGAAGCGGTGGAGCTGTTTCGTAAGGGTCAGCAGCAGGTGGGAAAAATTGATGGAAATGTTAAAATGTTTGGGGAATCTGGAAGAATCTGGAATCTGGAAGAATCTGGAAGAATCTGGAAGAATCTGGAAGAATCTGGGAAACTTATGGGGATGATTGGGAAAAACGATGGGAAAAACTGATTTTAGACGAGAAAAATCAGGCTATGGGGATGAGTAAAGGAGTTAAATATTTATGATTTTCCTGAAAAGGATCGGGGGGATGATCCATGAGCGTTTTGGCTCACCAGCATGACGGGAACACCTTTACCATCCTTTACCTTTATCCAGTGGTTCATCATCATTTTTCCGGTGAAACAATGCAACTTTTTATACCTTTTTTTTTTTCAGGTGATACTTGATTTAGCGACACATCGATACAGAACAACTGTTGGGATGATAACCACTGTAACATGATGTAACTGGGATATTGTAGTTGGGATATTCTTCGGTTGATGGGTTCCGACTGGTGAAGGGTAGTTACGATTAAACAGTTAGCCCAGGAGCTAGTGACTAACCATGAGATAGGCAGAGGTGTCTAGGGTCTAGGAAGGAAACGATGAGATGAATGGGCCGAAAAAGAGGGCAATGATATTCTGATCTTAACAGTGCTGGCAATGATGTGTAATCAAATCATTTTTCTTTTTTTTCCATATCTCTTTTTAGTGGGAGAACTTGAGGGGAAACAAGTGTTTTCTTCGAGTGATCCCCACCGAATGACATTTTGTTTAAACATATTTTCTGACATTCTATCTGGCATTCACATTTTATCTCACATATTTTCTGACATTTTGGCATTGTATCTGGTATATCTTCGGAGATCTTTGTGGTTGAGGTCCGGCGGCGGAGCTTGCGGTGCAGGTCCGGTGGGGAACACTCTGATCCGGAGCTGGCGGAGGTCCGGTGGGGAACACTCTGATCCGGAGCTTGCGGTCGAGGTCCGGCGGGGAACACTCTGATCCTGAGCTTGGAGGTCCGGCGGGGAACACTCTGATCCGGAGCTTGGAAGTCCGGCGGAGGAGGAGGAGGCGGGATATCATAAAACCTGACAACCCTCACCTGACAGGCGGGGAGTTACTGGAGATAGCTTGGAGAATCTAATCCCATTCACATATTCGGACCCCACCATTTTGAGTCGGTGAAGATTCTCGTGTAGTCTCCTGTATTTGGTTGGCCAAATCATAAGTTTCTGTCAACAAAATGCGCAACCACGGGCCGCTTAAACTCCCAGCGATTGTTGTCAAAACTCCAACACCTGCTCAGCAGAATCAGATTTTTATTGCTGGTGCGAGCAACCCCATCTGAAGTTAGTGGTGTCAACTATTCAAGAAACAAGTTTCAAGCCCTAGACAAGGGAGGTTGACCACCCAACCATCTGTGCCAGAATTGGATTATGGGGAAAAAATGCAGGGCGAAACCTTATTTTTCAACGCAGAAACAATGGTTTTCCTGTATATATTTTCTAAAACCGATCCATTGAAACAGAAGGCCTCTTTTCAGATCTCCAACAGTTGCAAGCTTCCCCATTTTTTCCATCTACATAATCCATACGTATAAATAAATAAATAAATACATAAATAAATAAATATATAAATAAATATATATATATATATAAATGCAATTCTGAATATATATATATATATAAATATAAATATATATATCTATATATATATATATATAAATAAATATATATATATAAATATATATATATATATAAATATAAATATATATATATATACAAATAACTATATATATACATATATATATAGATAGATATATAAATATATATATAGATATAAATATATATATATATATATATACAAATAAATATATATATATATAGATGTATATATAGATAGATAGATAGATAGATAGATAGATAGATAGATAGATAGATAGATAGATAGATAGATAGATATATATGTATATATACAAAGATATATATATATATATACAACTATATATATATACATATATATACAAATATATATATATATACATATATATATATAAATATATATATATATATACAAATATATATATATACATATATATATATACAAATATATATATATTTTTACATATATACAAATATATATATATATACATATACAAATATATATATATATATAAATATAAATATAAATATATTATTTATTTATATATATATACATATATTAATCTCACCTATCCCAGGTGACTTCTCCCCATTTTTTCGGGTGGCCAGGCAGCCCTGGACCTGGCCATGGACTTCTGCCACCAGGCGGAAGATCTGCTGGGCGAGCGCCACGCGGTCTACGTGGATGGCCTGGCCACGGTGGCCGCCCTGGCAGAGCAGATGGGCTGCAGAACGGAGGCCAGGCAACTTCTGAAGGAGGCCGAAGAGTTGCACCAAGGCAACCAGTTGCAGGAGGAGATGCTGATCAGTTTTTTTTTGACATATAGATATATTTTGTAAATATATAAATAAATGTTGATATATTGTTATATTATACATATGATGATTAAGTATGTAAGAAATCTGATTTTTTTTGGGAGTGTTCTTGTATTCTTTGGTCAGGATTTTCACCGGCTGCAGGCTGCAGGTGTGTTTTTTTCACAGAAGAAATTTTCTTTGGATGAGTTTCGCGGTGGTGTTTTTCTTAGGGATGGGTTGGAATAGGTTGCCAGAATTGATGGTCCAATGAAGGTGAAAATGTGAAACAATTATAAGAGGTGGCAGATAGCAAGACCCCTGCAGGATCCCCTGGAAGAAAGTGCAAACTCAACTTCCAGTAACAGCTTGGAAAGTTGCTCGGATGAGGCTGCAGCTGAGAAGATTGAGCAACTGACCTGGGAAATCCAAGAGCTTTTGAAAGATGGTCATCCCGAACTTGCCGCGAAACTTCTGGCAGATGCTGAAGTTCGGCTCCTCAGTGAAGATGAAGGGAACGAAACTTTGCATGGCCTCAAAAGAGCGGCCTTGCACACCTTGTGGGCTGCGGTCTTGGAGGATATCGGTGAGAAAGATAAAGCTGCCAAACTGTATGATGAGGCCTTGACCTGTTTGAAACACGAAGATCAGGAGTTTGATTCCGTCTCTGAGATCTCGGATGACGCCTCACATCGCAGCACGCGTGAGCTCTTGGAACTGCATCAACAGCAAAGGCCACTGCCTATTGCGGAGAAGATGAAACTGCTGATGGACCGGGAGATACCGGGCCCCGAAGTGCCAGCTTCTCATGAAGTCAAGGCAGATTTGAAGACTGAAGAGCTTCTGACACCAGGCCCAGAAGCCTTTGAGCCAACAGAACCAAGTACACCTTTTCAGGCACCAGCAGCCAGACAAGTAGAACCCATGGCACCTATGGCCTTTGAAGCATCGGAGACATTGACAGAAGCCCTTTCCAAGGAAGCATCTCCCTGCACTCCAGAAGAACCCAAGGCACCTACAGCCTTTCAAACATCACCCGCCACACCACAAACAACCCTGTCCAAAGCCTACCAAACACCCTATGCTCCGCCAGAACCCAAGGCACCCAAAACCTCCCAGACATTAGCAGCTACGCCACCAGAACCAAAGGCACTCAAAACCTTTTCGACAACACCTTCCGCACCACCAGAACCTAAGGCACCAAAAACATGTCAGACGCCACCACCTACACCACCGCCAGCCAAGACAGGAAGAAATTCTCACACACCACCAGTGACACCGCCAGACCCCAAGGCCACCAAGGCCCCAGCCCCTAGCAGCACTGTTTCACCCCCAAAACCATCTAGTACCCCCGATGCCAAGGAAGTCAAAACGGTTTCCAAGGCAGCGCCAAAGAAGCGGCCGCCCCCCATGGCACCCATGGCACCGAAAGTCGGTGCAGTGCGTGTGGGGGGTGGCTTCAAACTGACCCCCAAGGCACCTTCCAAAGCCAAGGCTAAGGTGGCACCAAGAGCCAAGGCCACCGCCCCGCCAGACCCGGTGGATCCGGAGCCCAGCACGGAGCCGCTGGACCTCATGACGAGGTTGACATTCGCGGCGCAGAAAGTCATGGTCACGGCGGACCATTTTTTGGGCCTGTCGAAGTTTGAAAAGGCTGCCGACATTTTGGAAGAGCAGCTGGTGGAAATCTCGGCCGAAACGTCGCCCCTGCGCAACAGCGACCTGCATGTGCAGCTGCTGCAGAAATATGGAGGCATCCTCTGGTGGGATGGGGATGCGGAAGGTGCCATTGATGCCTATGCAGCGGCAGATGAAGTTCTGACTGAACGGGCGGAGGCTGAGAAAGACGCAGGACTCTTGCTGCAACGTGCCAAACTGTGGGGAAAGGCAAGGGTCTCTACACATTTTCCTTCTTTTTGACATACATCGACCCTTTGGATGCTGTCGGTGGCTGATATCCCCCAAATCTATCTAAATCATTCTAAATCTAATGTTGTACTCCCAATGTAGGTTGTAATTATCATTCTTCTAATGGAGGAAACACACGGCAAAATACCCCGAAAGGTGGCCCAAGTACACCGAAAAAGTGGCGACTTGGACGCTGCCGACCGACATTTGGAAGCTGCCATGTATTCACTGGAGCAGCTGAGGGACAAGCCTTCAGGAAGTGAGGCCAAGAGTCATTCAGTGGCATTGGAGGATCTTTTGAGAGATCTCCAAGCGTCTTTGGGGCAAGTTTGTGTGGAGAAGAAGGAATATGGCCGTGCACAAGAGCTGTACTTGATGGCATTTTCATGCGATGAAAAAAGGTGCGAGACCATTCGCTGACGGATTTCAGAGAGGTTGGAAGTTGAAACCAGCAATGAGAGACGTCCAAATAACCTGCGAACATGACATTTCCAGAAATTCCAAGACTTGAAAAACGGATTTTGCCATGTAATTAATATGCATATTATATATATAATATATATATACACACATACACACCATATATTTCCCATATATTTTCTCACATGTTCCCATAGTATCCTATCTTTTCCCATTTTTTCCAAGATGTTCCCACATTTTTCCCAGAACTTCCCACAGCGCCTTTGCCAATTTTTCGGCCCTGTTTCCCAGGTTCAAACGGGTCCGTCTCTGTTGGGGGATTTACCTTCCCTGGTGAAGCAGGATTCCAAGAGCGAAAAGAAGGTGCAGATGGTGCAGATGACGAGGGGTTCAAGGGATTTAACATGATTTAACCATGGCAATTCATGGGGTTTCATGTTTTTTTTTTTAATGGGAATATCATGGTTCATTTCAATAGATTTCCATGGGGAATCTAATAGAATACTACTGGGATTTAATTGGAAGATGATAGGATTTAATTAGATTGTTTGGTTTTCATGGGATTTTCATGGAAATATAATGGAATACTAATGGGATATTATTCAATATTGGTTAATGCATGTTAATTACCTTCTGGCAATCAATGGCACTGGGAATTTCCTTATGAGTGGAAATTCTAATAGGAAACTGTGGGAGAATCATCTATACATTGGGGATTTCCCGTTGCTATGTTTGACTCTCGATTACTGGAGGGTAAATGTATAGGATATTTATTTGCCCTTGGACCAAAATTCGAGACAGCTAAGAACAGTGGATTTTGGCTATAAGCAATCGATTTTAATTTATCTTTTTTGTTGGAACTTGGAACCACTATGAACATCTATGAACCACTAATTACCCATCATTTAATGTGAAATGCAGCCTTGCCAGATCCCAGATGCAGCTGGAGTTCTGAAGATGGGGGTCCAAGATGGTTCTTGGAGCCTGTTTTCATGGCAGTTTTGGATGTGCTGAGCCATGCCCTGTGCCCCAGGAAAAGCACAAGATTCGCATCGAATCCAGATCCGTGGTGGATTGCCCTGAGGCGAACTGACAACGAGTGGATGGTGAACATCCCTAAACACTTGAAACAGTTGAAGATATTTTAAAAGGTAAAACAGGTATGCCGAGGAATTCATGCAATGTTGTTTTGCCATGGACCCACTGAATGACTCTTATGGGAGATCGTTTGGTGTGGAGATAGCGTGTAGCCCAGAATCCGAGCGAAACCAGGACATGAGATGCGCCATCGACGGAAAGGTCATGGTGAACCCTGCCGGCCTCCCAGTCGGGGAGGTCATTGATTTCTAGGTCCATGTCAGCCCCATATAAAGGTGATGTTTATAAGATTTTATAAGGCAAATGTGAAAGGGAAACCTGAAACATCCAGGTCTAGCAACCCAGAGTGGGGTGGTTTTTAGATGACAATGTGAAAAATCACCTAGGACACCCCCAGAGTGCTCTCCTGGATGATTGGATGGGACTCTCTGGCTCCCATGGGCTCCACATTTTGGATGCCACCGTCCAAACATTTCGGGTTGGGTATGATTCAGCATCAATCTGCCCATGGATTTCCGTAGGTTTTCCATGGAGTTCAGGGAAGGGCTGCTTTCGTCGAGGTTCAGTCTCCCTATGGCCACTTCTTTGAGAGGAAGACCTTGGAGAAGTGGTTTGCAAACTGCGGATCGGTGGGGCCCTGAATGGCCGGTGATTTTTATACCACACGGAATCTGGTGCGTCGAGACTTGAGCCGACGCAACCCTAAAGTTGCTGCCCCCATGTTTGCAGCAGCCAGTTCATGACTGGCGGCCGCATCAATGACAAATGGAGGTAACCAAGGGATGAAGATCAGAACTCACCAACGTTTCAAAATCCGGTTGTGGAAAGTCTTTCACTTATAGCCTATAGCAACAAAAAAGGGATGCTCGTAACATCTCGTAACTTATGCGGAAAACATCATCGAATCATCGAACCATCCTCGAAATACTCCTCTCGATTGATCGTTGGCCTCGACCTGGGGTGATGGTGTGGGTCCCCTCAAAGCATTGAGACTTTGCTGTGGCAAGCCTAATGATTAACAGTCAGTGAACAATAAGCCCAAAGTTTTTGAACGTTTGAAACACCTAAATGGATCCAAATGGTCAAATTATATAGGTACGTTATACATCATCCTTGGCCTTACTCCAGATCTCCCTGCACAACTTCCCAACCCCTGCTGTGAGGTTTGTCCGATCACCCAGAAGAGTTTGCGCCTGGAGGAGTGTCAAGCGGATCCTGAGATGAAGAAGAGGCAGTGCCGGGGGGGAATTGAAGCATCCCAAACATCATGGATTATTGCTGGGTAAACGGACTGGTGAAGGTTATACAATATATATATAATTACTATATATAATATGATATATGATATATGATATATGAGATATGATATATGATATAGAATATATGAATATGATGTATGATATATGATATAGAATATATGATATATGATATAGAATATATGATATATGAAATATGATATAAATATAATTATATAATTATATATATATACACATTACACATTATATGTACTGTGGATTCATAGGGTGTAATTTACTACCTGTATCATTTGATGACATTTGCTGGGTAAACCGAATCTAGTGATCCAATTTAATATGATATTTGATGGGTAAGCCGACTCGTGAAGGTCAGGAGTTGGTAGGTTTAAATCTGTTGAAAGGCGTATTGATTTGGACATCGCCTCAATGATTCTCCTCATTGGCCTGTCTCACCATATACAAAGGGGTCAGGATAAGGGTTTGAAGTTGGCAAGTCAGACATCCAGATGGCTGGAGGATTGTGAAGTTCCTGAAGGGCCACCAAGTGTGACAAACGTACCGTTCAACGCGCCGTTGAGATGCACTTTCCAAAGAAGTTGAGACAATTGGACGTGTCTCAATTAGGTGAATTGGGGAGCCTTGAAGTGTAGAGATTTCAATATACAGTATTTCAATGAGTTTCTTCGGCTCTGAACCAAGTGCATTTGAACGGTTGGCATCTGGTTGTGGCCTGTGGTTTAACAGACCCACGCCCAACCGCTAAAGGGAGATGCCGTAGCAGGGATGCCTTTCAAGTTTCGGCCAGAACCGATTAGGAGATTAGGAGATACAGAAGTGCCATTTGAACATATTTGAGTAGCATGGTTCATTGCAGTCATTTCAGTGTCAAGTGCTGCTTTTCATGACGTTTTCTTGTGAAGATTCCAGCAGGATTTCAGTGTCAAGTGGGCTTGAAGAGGCACATGGAAAATTGCAGATCCTTGCAAGAAATGGCCCAATGGTGGCCAGCCATGGGAGTGTGTCACTGGTGCAAAAACAAAGGGCCACAGGGCCACAGGGCCACAGGGCCAGGGCTGCAGCAGTTGGATCTATGGGATTCTCCAACCATGGGGTTCGTCCAGTGGAACATCCGGTAAATGGAAAACATGGCCAGCTTGATGTGTGTTTTTCTTACTTCTGTTGGGAAACTCATGGTGGGGAACTGGGGGTTGAACATGGGCTCAAGAAGTAGTGCAGTGATGCTGAAGCAGGACATCTGACAGCAGCTGTTTTATCTCAAAAGGTGACAACAGCTTCAGCAGTTCCAGGAAACTGACCATTCATTTGGACATGCGTTCACTGAAGTTTTTGGACCCCCCATAAACTCCTCCAGCACAGTCTATTTCAGGAAAAGACGAAGGAACGTGGTGGATTTTGAGGTCAGTTAGGCAGATAACCGGCATTTCCATTCCATTTCCATTCGACCCCTGCCATGGTCTCTCAATTCAATCGGCAGATCTTTCGTTTGCAACCCATTCAGATTGCCAGGTGCTCGCCCTCCTTGTCCTTGCCAGAGGACACCTGGATTTTTAGTGGCACAGCACGGTGCAAGAATGGGGAGCGATTAACATCTTGGAGTGATTCTATCGATTTTATTCAATTTTCCATTTTCCCGACTCCCCTAGATTAAAGTATCAGATATGGAAGACCCATGCGGCATGTTATTTTGCAGGTTCCAATCTGAAGCTATCCCGGTGATGTGCTCCTGGCAGTTGGCATCAGTTGGGTGCTACCACCCATCGAAGCTTTCTACGGGAGCTCACCGATCGCCTGTTGCTCGGAGAGGCACAGCTGCAACCTCTGTGGGGATGTGACCACCAGTGGGGATTTTGAGCCACCAGAAATCATCATTTTTTTGACAATTTTTAAAGCCTGTAATGTTGATAGTTTGAGCAAAAAAAATTGAACTGCGGATATCGGAAAAGTATTTGAAGTATTTTGAAGTAGGCTGGCAGTTTTTTTCCCCTCCTGGGCCCCATTGACTGATATTGTAGCAATGGGCTTCAAAAAAAAAGAAATCCCATAAGCCACGGGCATCCCATGCCATGATCAACTTTTTAAGACAAGAAACCAGATATATCATGATATATCTTGTACATTCTTGTACACCCAAAAACTTAGAGCAGATTGAATTTGTTAGAATCTTACTAGGACTTTATCCCAATCAGGGGTCGCTACAGTTATGGAATTCTTGGTGCCAGGCGGGTGTGGGCGGTGAGCATCGCTTCGTCGAGAGCTCGGCAAAAAAGCACCGCAAATCAGGTTGAAGAAACATGTGGTAAAGTGATCTAAAGTTATCTGAAGTCAATTCTGAATCGAAATAAAAAACGATATATATATATATATATATACACATACTAGTATCCAATTTCACCTTTGACGGGGGTTGGATAAACTCAAACGAACTCAGGAACTCATTTAGTTGGTCATCTCCCTGCATCTTTCATCTCGTCGTAAAAAACATGTGGTGAACGATCCAAGCCAACACTGCGAGGCAGCAGACCGAGTGTATTGGTTTAGCAGACCAAAACTGCCAGGTGGCTACGATGGGATCCACCTCGACCATGGGGTTGGGTCAAATGGATAAGTGTATATTTGTGAGAAGATTAAACCAGTGTGTACATTTTTATGTATGGCGTTATTTATAATATACACACATATGTGCAAATGTATGTAGACTTATGAAATATCGATATACTGTACATATTTACATCCACAGCTATATTGTAGACATGCAAAAATGCTGTAGAGATTGCCATTGCCAGGCTCCTTTGAAGCTCGCAGCTCAGACCATGGTTGGTTGACCACCATTTTGTTGGTTATGTATATATATATATGTATTATTATATATTTATACCCAAGCAAAAAGCCTCAAACCCTTCAGTCATTCAGATCTTGCTAAATTCAGATTTAGATATCTGGAACATTTAAGGGAAAGCCTGCAGGAAACCTTAATATTTGCAGGTAAGAGAACATGGTTTCCTGCAGATTTTCCCTCAGAAACCAATCGATTGAAACCCAATAATTGACACACACACACACACACCCCATATATACCCAGTTGTTGGTCATATATCTCATATATATATACACACATAATTGGGGATATTTCCACAACCATCCATAACCATACATCACCAGGTTGCAATATGCTTACTATCCTTTCACTAACTGGGATGCCCAAGTCGAACATCACTTGGTGAACTTATTGAGACCCTCCGCTGTCATCAAACATGGCGAGCTGGAAAATCACGAACCAAATGCAGGGTTTCATGGGAAAATCATGTTTGTTTTTCTGGGTTTTCCACATCTTAGGGAAACCCATGGGTTGTCGCGGTTTCCAACGGGAGACCCCGGGGTTTCCAACTTCGAGGCCGGGGTGGTCACGGTGGAGCAGCGCAGCTTCGACGCGCGGCTGGTGCTGGGGCTCTTCGATGTCGGTGTGGAGGTCTGGGGCTAGGTTTTGTGGAGCGTTTGGGGATATTTTCATGGGATATTGAGTCAAAATTAAGGGATCATATCCCAATATATCCCACATTGTTTGTTTATCAATGTTTATCACCCAAAAACAGTATATTCTCCCAGTTTTTTTTTGGGGAGATTATTAAAGGGGATTTATGATCAACAATCTGATATTTGAATATATTTGAGTCAACCGGCATAAGAATGGCAATTTTCATGGGAGATAATGGAGATAGAATGGGAATATCATGGGAATATAACTCGCCAACTATGATTTTTGGGTCTGAGAATGGGGTATACCTCCAAAGTGACAATTTTATAATGGTTAACCAGATATAGGTGTAGCCTATTTTCATGCAATCCCACATGATCCCACATGTATTTGACACCACAAGCATGAGACACTACCATGACGATCCTGCCATTTTTTGGGGTTGGTAGACTGGACTACTTTCCTCTAAACATGGACAATTCTCAAGGTCTGTGCTAGTTGGTGGGATGATATGGATATATATATATATATATACGGGTAGTTGCTGAGGTGTGTATATCCACATATTATATATACCCGTATGAACGGAAAATTGACAGCTAGTACAAATCATAAAATGAACGAACAAATGAACGGATCAATGACAACTTGACAACTAGGTGAATCAACAAATGGATACAAATGGATGAATGGCAGCTCTACAAATCCAGAAAATGAATGGACGACTGAATTCCAGTTACATGTGGAAAGGTCGATCTTGGGTACTGGAACAGGATGGTCTTGCTGGTCAGACTGTCCAATTGACAGAGGGGCCTCGAGTACCCAGTAACAGTGCAGACCATCCGCTAATGTCAGCTCCAGAATTGTTCACCCTCTTGGCAAACCCAATTATAAATCATCCCCAATATGGCCATAGATGGGCGGTATAAACCATCCATCCCCAAATAATAGATAATAATAGGTTATTATTGGGTTTAGCACATTATTGATATTGGATATATGATATTGGTACATATTATTATATATGATATTGGATATATTGTATATATTGGATATATTGGATATATTGGATATACTGGATATATTGGATATATTGGATATATTGGATATATGATATATTGGTACATTCCCTATTAAATGAGCCGGTAAACACCTCATTTCCTGGATCGCGGGACGACCTTCTGTCAGGAGCCGGTGATGCTTTACGCGGCTGACCGTATTTCGATGGACCGGGGCGATCTTTTGAGGTGGAGGAGGAGGGTTAATACAACAACCTATACCCTCTAGTTACTAGTTATTTAACATAGCTATAGCTATGGTACAGATGACCAAGTCATAGATGAGTTATGGTTATTTACCAATTAAAACGCCAATTTTCCAGTTCGCTACGTTAATTATCCAGAGGGTAAGACATATTAAGTAAATAAACATGTAGCATGCAATATTCCGAACCGGTATCATTTCATGTGTGTATATATATATATGTACGTGCACATACATATATTTCTATTTACATACCAAAAATACATATCTAAGCCACTCACCCCACAAACACAACCACACACACACATCTATTTTTCCATCAATCACGATATCTATCCGACATCTCCATCCATCCATTTAAATGCACATCTATACATATTTGCATAAGATATTTACAAGATAGACATGGATTCAGATGAATGCTCATGTTATCTATATAGATTTCTATAAGATATAAACAACATTTCTATCTCTCTCTATATTTGTATTTGTATACACATACATACATGCATACATGCATGCATGCATGCATGCACGCGAAAGATATGTAGATGTGTGTGTGTATGTATATATATATATATAGATATGTAGACCATATGCATTGAACCGAAACGGTGCCCATCTCAGGACACCTCGGGCCGCCCGGCGGCGCCCAACGCGGCGCTGCAGGCAGCGTTGCAGCGCAGCTTCTGCACGGGGTCCGGTGGCCCAGTACCACGGAGTGCCACGGAGTGCCACGGAGATCCCGGGAGTGCGCGAAGCCAGACGGGTTCGAGGCTTTGTTTGGGAGACATGATGGTTTCATGGGGTTTCATGGGGGTTCCATAAATATGGTGTTCCCCACTAGCTGGTTGGTTGATTTTATGTTTTTTTTGATTAATATGGATGATGCAGCCCCCAGTTATGGAAACCTCCATATATTTTGATCCAGTAAAACATGGGAAAACGGAAATCATCATGGAACGTCGACAGCTGGCCATCCAATTCTTGAACCCAATGTTGGGTTGGTGAAGATATTCTCTGGAAATGATTGTTTGCCTTCCATGCCTATTTGTGATGACCTCAGTTAACTCAGCAATAAGAGAAGACACGACGTTTGCTTCAGCGCAGGCTTGACGTTGCGAAGTTTGGCTTGCTGACCTGA